CATTTTAAATCTACGCTGACATTTTAAAGCTTTGTATAAAGTTTTTAAGCCTAAATTGAAATTATGAAACCTAAAATTCCATATTTAAGCCAAAACTGACATTCTTAAATTAAAATTTCTTTTTTAAGCCAAATTTAACATTCTTAAAATTTTGATGACATTTTTCATTTAAAATGACAGTTTTTTACAATAAAACATTTTCAGTCCAATATATTTTAAACCAAACTTAAAAACAAGCCAATTTAAAATTAAAATTAGTTCCAAAATACAAAAGTTTCTTCGAGTTTGGGTCGGTCGTAGTGTTGTCGTCAACGGTGATGAGCAGTCCTCGAGCCGAATAAATACTTAAAAAGTCTCGTGTTTATTCCGAGGGCTCAATGATCTATCTGCATTTGAAAGGATTCCGGAATTTTAAATTTTTAAATTGAGTTTTGACGTACTGTACAGTACGAATGAAGAGAGATTACAATAAAAAAACTTGCACTTGACTTAGTTTGTGTTTTAGCTAGGACTGTAAAAGGGCTTGGCTAGATTTGAAAGAGAGCCCAAGCAAGTTGGGAAGAGGTCAGGCTGGCTCATGTGTACGCGCCATAGACATGAAAAGCGGACCGGGCCTAAATGGTAGAACCTGCCCGATTGAAATTTTGCTCAGAAGCGGCCCGGCCCGAGCCCAAATTACTTTTACGTGAAAACGGGCCGGGCCCGACTTATTTTTCAGGCTTGGCCCGAACGAAATTTTGCTCAAGGCCGGCCCGACCTGGCCCGTTTCTCATGTCTAGAGGGTCAGACTAAAACCAAGTGCTTTAGGGTTTTCTTAGGTCATGCAGCTGTGTCTATGGGGCCGTCATTTAGGTCCGGTCTTCAAGCTCACACATTCCGGTCTACCTCTGTCAAATTAATTTTGGCTCGGCACAACAGTCAAGGAGCTTACTCTGCTCTTTCCAGGTCTAGGTAGGGCTATAGTAAGGCTAAACAAAAATATAAAAAAGTTTTGCATTACTGTTTTTAATTCATTTATTGTTAGAATCGAAAGTTATATACATGTTTTAAGCAGATAAAGTTAAAAAATATCGTTTCGCCATCTCATCCGCTCATTAAGGCCGAGCCGACTTGTGCTCCCATCATTGAGCCAATCATTGCTCTGAAAATGAAAAAAACATATTTTTTAAAATTTTAATTTTTTTTTGGTTTTAATTTTACGTATTTTAAACTATTTAATCATTTTTTATTGTACAAAGCAACGCAATACAGTATTAACAGCCTGGCGACATGTTATACGATAAAACTTATAAAAACATGTTTCATCGTATAACGTCACTTTTTAAAATTTTAAATAAATTTTAACTTGAAAATGTCTTAAAACATCTAAAAATATCTCTAACCTTTCAAAAACATCATAAAATCTCATCTATGTCATAATATACTCACCCCGGATTCCCACCGCCATAAGGCATGCCACCACCGTAGCCTTGTCCGTAGCCTCCGTACGAGCCATACCCGCCGTACATTTGGGCTTGTGCCACCACGAGAAGAAGCAAAACTACTACTATTATTTTGGTGAACATTGTGAACAGTCAGGTAACATATGACATGTTTACTATGGCTTATATATGGGTTTTGATTATTACTACAACATATTGACGTATCTTGAAATTTTGAAGCTGTTATTCATTTGTGCTATAGTTTTTGAACTTTGGTTGGTTTTGTAAAGTTATTTTGATTTACTTTGGTGTTTGAAAATGTTTATTGAGAGATCTTGGTTAGGTTGACGTTTAGAATTAAACTACGGTTTAGGCTGGGGCATACGTTATAACTAAGCCAAGATGTAGACTATAAGTTTTTCTTCGGCAATATCATAAGTTATGACATAGGCCATAACAAGGGTTATGGCTTAAGCTAGGGCTTAATTTAGGGCTTGGCCTAAGGCATAGACTATGGCATAGGCAATGGCATGGGCTGTAACAAAGGCATGGACTATGCCTTAACTAGAAAAAGGGTTATGGCTTAGGCTAGGGCATGAGCTATGGCTTAGGCTAGAGCATGAGCTATGGCTTAATCCAGAACTTAGTCTAAGACTTAAGTTAGTACTTATGTATGTTATAGCTTAGGCTAGAAATTAAGCTAATATTCAGGCTACCGCTTAAGCAAAAGCTTAAGATATTCTTAAGCTAGAGCATAGGCTAGAGCCTAGCCTATAGCTTAAGCTAGGGCTTAGGCTAGGACTTAGGCTAGAGCTTAGTCCAAAACTTAAGTTAGAGTTAAGAGTAAGATATTTATTGTGTAATCAGATCATCATATTATGTCATATTTTTCGTCTTATGACATCATTTTACTATTGTCTTTTAATCATCTAACTATTAAAAAAAAAAACTGTTATTCCGCTTAATTGATGGATGATTTTTATACTTTTTCAAGTAAAAACTGCAAAATTATTTGTTTTTATTTGCGCTTTGATTAATTTGATAAGGAAATAAACAGCAATTTATAAAATAATATATAAAAGGTTAACTAAGGGAATCATTGAATTTACTGTAAAATTTTTACATTTTAAAAAGTTTTTTTCTCAAGAAAGGTCAATTAAAGTAAATTTATATGTTTTTGAATAAAAATTCATTATTATCTTTAATAATAAAAATTATATTACAGTACTCAATCTATAAAAGCAACTCGAAGGGACCGACTTCTTGTGTTTACTATAGGGGGTCTTGTCTTTATAGAGTGATTTTTAGTGCAAATTGACTTGGCAAGGTCAAACTTCTTGTTTATTATAAGAAGAGTTGCTTATACAGATGGTTTACTATATATGGAGACCTCTGTAATATCATTCATCCAAGTAAAAGTGATCCAATTTCAGCTCCCAGTATTCCTCCGGCCATTGCTCTAAAACAACCATAACATTATTATACTAAGCGGCATAGAAGAAGGAGAGAGTAGGGCTATGATGGACAATAGCAGCGCTAGAGTGGGGCAAGAGCAGAGCAAAGACAGGGCATGTGTAGACAGAAATTTAAAGAAAAATAGCTGTCTAGGCTATGGTAAAGCTAGGATGAGGCTATAATAAACAAGAGTAGGGCAAGGATGGGACCAGGGTAAAACAAAAGTAAAGCAAGAATAGGTCAAAGAGAAGGCACAGGTAGCGCTAGTATAAGGAAAGGGTAGCACAAAAGTTAGGTTAAAATAAAGCTATAAGAACGCAAGGATAAAGAAAGGCTAGGCTTGAATAAAGTATTGTAGAGTAAGACAGGGGTATTGCACAGCTAAGGCTATAGTAAAGCAACGGTAAGATACAAATAGAGCAAAGGTAACGCAAGGTCAAAGCAAAAGTTAGGTTAGAAAAGATCTAAAAGAGAGCAAGAGTTGAGCACGCCTAGGACTGGGATAGGGGTATGGAAGGGTATAGCAAAAACAAGGAATGACATCGTTAAAACTATTAGGTGCCAACCTGAAGAATCAGCCATTTTTTACAGAAAACTACAGGAAAAGTATGGCGGGTTCTTTATGTCGTTATCTAATAGTAGATCAAAGTTATGACAAAAGTAGAGCAAGAGATAAGGCAAGAGTAAGGAAAAGGTAAAGTATGAAATAAGGTAAGGAAAAACTACATGAAGGGTAGAGCGTTCAACTCACCCCGGATTCATCATCATTGGTGGAGGCATGCCTCCCATCATGCCCATTGGAGGACCCATCATTCCTGGTCCATAAAACATTTGGGCTTGGCTTACAACTAATAATATGGCACAGAATAAACATAATTTAACAAACATCTTTAAGGAGAATATTTTAGGTAACAACAATATAATTTTTTTAAACTTTAGGCAAGAAAAATACAATCTTCTCTAGGCTGTGTCTTGCTTTAGGCTGTATAATATACATTAACTACAACCCTTTTAAAATTTGAAACAAGCCCTTAGACAATATTTTGATATTATAGTAAGTAACTATTACTTTTTGCTTAAAATCAGTAAGAAACTATCAATTTTCTTACTGACCAGACCATTTTATACGCCCTTGATTGATGATTACAACTAGAAAATGTAACAAAACTGATTCGTTTTGAAAATCAGTTTGAAATCACGTCATTACATAACCGTAGGCGTCGTTTCTCATGTCTAATTAAGCAAGTTTTAAACATTGAAACATTAAAAAAGTAAAGATTAAAGAACTTATTCGCTAAATTGAACAGAAATTCCAAATAATTTTAGTTTCTTTTGCATTTTTTTCAAAATTTATGTTAAAACTAATAGGTTGAAAGAAAAAGAATGGCGCATTTTGATGCTGTGCTGGTAGAGTTGGACCTAGCACGAGCGCACCATTGTGGTCCCGCCACGACAACGAATAGCACTTGGCATCCCGCACCGCGCCAGCACGATAAAAGGAGAGGACGGTCAATCAAGAGGACAGTCAGTATTGGATTGGTCAGCAGGCACGGGACAGTTGGGACGTTTGAAGGACGTCACACTTGATGATTGTCATCACATCGGTTTATGTTTATATTATAGTATTGTTGGTTGTTTGAGAAGGTAAATCTATTATATAGTATCTGTGGGCTGATTGAAGTGATTAGAGAGGTTAGTATACCTAGGTTTATACTTGTAGGATCAGCTGAATTGATCCGAATGTAGGGCCAAATAGTAGAGCAGAATAAAACACTAAGGTAAAACAAACGCAGATCAAAAGTACTACTTCTTGTAAGTAAATAAAAACTAACAATTAAGATAGATATGAAGCATCAAAGTTCCCTGAATTTCATAATCAGCCAACCTCTACCAATTGACAACCGACTTTTCCAGTTTTTTTTGCGAAAAATGAATGCCACAATTGCCTGATTCTTGACACAGAACGCCAACGTTTTGCAAGGACATCTAGTAGTAGTCTTTTGAAAGTGCGGTCACTGTTGAAATGTCACCGTTCCGGCTTTTGTTTGGTGATTAGAGTCGAAAATTGATTTGTCGGTCGGTCGATTGTGAAAGTTTTGGTCGATAGAAGGTTGGAGCTGTAGAATGTTGGGTATGGTGCTTCTGGTACTGTTGTGTTTGGGTAAGTTGAAGGCTTTACTTTTACGATTTCAAACTTTCTGTTTTCGGCCTAAAGGTTTATGGAAAAACTTTTTTTTGATTTTTTGGGTAAAAATTCAGTTTGTTAACTAAAACTTAAATAAAAACAAAATTTGTTTTAATTCTATAAACTTCTTGACCAACGCTTTGCTAAAGACAATTATTTTAGTCCCGTGTGCAAGCTGCGACAATTATTGTTACCATTGTGAAGAAACGGAAAATGGTGAAGTAGACCAAAATTGCATGGTTATTGACCCATTAAAACAGAATCCCTACAAAGTTTGTCGGGATTCTTGTTACACGATATGGGGCAATGTAACAATAGGTGACAAAGGTAAGGTTATATTTGTAAAACAGAGCTAATTTAAAGCAGGGTAGGGGTGAGAAATGGGTCGGGCATTTTTTAACCCAATTTTTATTTTTATCTCAGGCCGGCCATGCCCAAATTTTGTCTTACGAAGGGATTTTTTTCAAGCTCATTATTGATTCTAAATAAGGGTAAGGTAGGGTATGGTAGAGTAAGGTAGGGTAGGGTAGGGTAGAGTAGGGTAGGGTAGGGTAGGGTAAGGTAGGGTAGGGTAGGGTAGGGTAGGGTAGGGTAGGGTAGGGTAGGGTAGGGTAGGCTATGATTAAAAGTAATTCTTATTATTTTAGTGGTTTTGGCAGTACAGCGCGACTGTGATTACCAAGGCCAACTTCCGGTAAGTTTTAAAAATATTCAAGCGTTGTATTAACTTGTTTTGTAAAAACTTATATTTCTTGCTTCAAATTTTATAAAAATATGTATCATTTATAATATTTAACATTTCAGCCGTCGTCAATGTGCACACCCGTGTTTGGTTTACCGTTTTATAACAAATATAGAATATTTGGAACGTTGTGCATATGCAACGGAGTAAAATGCAACACGTGGAATCCATATCTGCCTACCACCACAAGTACTTCGACTACGACCACTACTACCAGTACTACCACTATTACCACTACGATCACTACTACCACTACAACTACTACTACCACTACTACCACTACGTCCACTACTACCATTACCACCACAACTACTAATTTCGAATCGACTACTGACCCCGACGTCCCAGTGGCATCAACTAACGACTGGTCGCTTTCTGTTCTCACTCTACTGATCGTTTACTGTACTTTCTATGTGCTTTAAAGGTACAGTAGACAATAAACATGGACTGACTTCGCTTTTTTGTATTGTGGTTTGTATGCAGTGTTATATGTTGTTGTTTATCATGTCATTGGTATCTTTGTTTTCATTTTCTTAGGCTTACAAATGAGAAACTGGCCTGGTCTATCATCGGGCAATGCTTTACTTCACTGTTGGCTTTTCGTCTGCTCTAGCATCGCTATATAGGCTTATATTGTCTTCAGCTCTATAGTCTTATTCTTGGGTTTTACTCTGCTTTAGTTTTACCTTAGGGTTCTACATTGCTCTGGCCATATCATATAATATTATGGCTTGAATTGAATGTTAGGCCAAAGCTCAAACGATTAAAACGCTCCAGGTCAGGCCGAGCTTACATGGGAAGGTACTTAAAGCAGAAATCGACTTTGGGACGAGACCCATATATTATGAAAGCTCTGTGCTCACTGAGTACGAATCTGAAAGCCGTTTTTCCGTATGGCTTTTCGTTTTCGAAATCGACGTTAAAGTTTGACCCAAATCGCATTAAACAGCGCTCCGCAAAGGCTCTTGCAAAAAACGAAAGAGAAGTAACTCAGCGGCGTGGCGCAGAGTTAGAGCGCTTGCCTTCTAGTTTTGACCATGCAGGTTCGACTCCGGGCAGTCTAGTTTTATTTTGCAACAAGTTTCAAAGCAACAAAATTTTGAAAGACTTTAACTGCAAAAATGTAATCATTTTTTTTAATTTATTTTTAAAATAATTTTTATTTTTATTTAAACTTTAAAATTAATTCTTTAAAAGTTTTAGCGCTTATCCAGAATAGCCCCCCCCCCCTAAAAGAACTAATAGTTCCATTTTACTTCGCATCCACATAATTGTAGTTTACACCCCCTACGCTGTAGATAGTGCCCCCACTCACTGTAGATAGCCCCCTCCCCCCCCACCCAGTGCAGATAGCACCCGCACCCACTGCAGAACGCACCCCCACCCATTGTAGATAGTACCCCCACCCACTGTAGATCGCACTTTCATCCAATGTAGTTCACACCCGCCATTCACCGCCCTGGTTAGTCAGTACAACAGCACTCTCTCGCGCGACCCTCAACCTTCAACTCCGGACATTGGCAATTTTTGATTATTCAAAACAAAAATTGCAAAACGATTTAATGTTTCGTTATGATTTGCATAAATTTGCATAATTGAAACTAGTTGCAAAATAAAGCCAGACTGTCCGAAGTCGAACCTGCATGATAAAAACTAGAAAGCAAGCGCTCTACCTCTGCGCCACGCCGCTACTTGCTTCTCTTTCGTTTTTTGCAAGAGCCTTTGCGGAGCGCTGTTTAATGCGACTTGGGTCAAACTTTAACGTCAATTTTCTCGAAAACGAAAAGCCATACGGAAAAACGGCTTTCAGATTCGTACTCAGTGAGCACAGAGCTTTCATAATATATAGGTCTCATCCCAAAGTCGATTTCTGATTTAAGTACCTTCCCATGTTAGGTTGTTTTTGATTGGGCCGGTCTTGAACTTAAGTGTAAACAAGCCAAGCCGAACAGTTGAACCCAGCCAGCGGACCGAGCTTGAAAAGTAGGCTCGGCCCGTTTCTCATTCCTAAATGATTGGCCTCAATTTGAATTTACCAATTGACAACCGACCTTCTCAGGTTTTTTGCAAAAAATGAATGTCGAAATTGCTTGATTCTTGACACAGAACGCCAAAGCTTTGCAAGGAAATCTTGTAGTAGTCCTTTGAAAGTGCGGTCATTGTTGAAATGACACCGTTCCGGCTTTTGTTTGGTCATTAGAGTCGAAAGTTGGTCTGTTGGTCGGTCGATTGTGCAAGTTTTGGTCGATGGAAGGTTGGAGCTGTAGAATGTCGTGCATGGTGCTTCTGGTACTGTTGTGTTTGGGTAGGTTGGAGGCTTTCCTTTAACAATTTCAAGTTTTTGGTTTTTAGTTTAAAAGCTTATGAAAAAACCTTTTTAAGATTTTTTTGGGTAAAAATTCAGTTTTTTTGACTAAAATTACGAAAAATCAAATTTTTTTAAATTTTTTAAACTTCTTAACCAATGCATTACTAAAGACAATTATTTTAGTCCCAACTGCAAGCTGCGACAATTATTGTTATCAGTGTGAAGAAGCTGAAGGAATGGGAAAGGATTGCATGGAAGCCTCAGAAAAGAGCGGCGGAAAGTATTGTCCGAATGATTTTTGTTACACATTATGGGGCCATTCAAAAATAGGTGACAAGGGTAAGGCGTAAAGTAGGGTAGGGTGGGGAGCGTATGATTAAAAGTAATTTTTTTAAGTGGTCCTAGGAGTACAGCGCGGCTGCCTTCCCCACGCCAAAAATAAGGTAGGTTTTTAAAATATTAGAGCGTTTTGTTCATTTCTTCGTATAATAAAACTGTTTTGATCCAGTCTAAAAAAAATTTAGCTTTTATTTCAGCGGTTGGTCCAGTGCATAGACGTGACGAATTATTCGTTTTTTAACGATTATAAAATAAACGGAACGTTGTGTAAATGCAACGGAACACTCTGCAACTCGCGGGTAAATCCATTTCCGACTACCACCACCATTACTTTGCCTACGACCACTACTACCCCTACCACTACAACCAATGAGTTCGACTCGACTACTGACCCCGACGCTCCAGTGGCATCAGCCAACGACTGGTCGCTCTCTGTTCTCACTCTACTGATCCTTTACTGTACTTTCTATGTGCTTTAGTGGTACTGCAGACAATAAACTTAAACTGACACAAATTTTTGTATCGTGGTTTAAATGCAGTGTAATATGTTGCTGTTTACTATATTTTTGGTATCTTTGTTTTCATTTTCTTTGGGTAGACATGATGAACATGATAATACTAACTTATCCAAGTTATGGCCTCTGCCTATAGGTTAAACTGTCTGCCAATTCTCCGCTAACGCAAAGAACATAAATTTTATTTCGAAAATGAATTTTCAGCCTGTAAAACGTTTGAACTCAGCAGGTCGAGTAGCTTCTGTAGGTATACAAAACGTCTTACAAGGAAAGTACCCCGCTTGTCCCGTTCAGAATCAGCTCAAAATTTTTATATGAATGCCTTTTATTATTAATAGTACACATAAAAAGTTTTAGCTCGCGGTTTTTAAGTTTTAAATTTGAATTATTTTGGTTTCCCGCTAATTTGGCAACTTTGGCATTGTGTTTCAAGCACTTTTTTGGCTTCCAGGCAAGCTGCGCTTACAAATTTAAAAATGTAGGTTCATTTCAAGGTATTATATTAGTATACTAAAGAAAAATGACTAAAAGTCGAAAAATGGCGAACTTATAAGCTTGAAACACAATGCCAATTTGGCGGGAAATTCAAAGCTCGTTTTTTTGATATCGATTTTCCCGAGATTGAGTAAAAAGCGCGATTTAATACTTGGCTGAAGATCTTATTATTTGCATGATCTTGCTATATAAAGCTTGAAATTAATCAGAGCGGGGCAGGACTTTCCTTGTTAGGAGTGAGAAACGGGCCAAGTCTACTTTTCAAACTTAGTCTGCTAACCGAGTTCAACTGTTTGGCTCGGCTTGTTCAAATTTAAGTTCAAGGCCGGCCCGGCTTAATCAAAAAAAATCTAAGCACGGCCTGACCTGAAGCGTTTTAATCGGTTGAGCTTAGGCCGAACATTCAACCTAAGGCATAATATTATATGATATGGCCAGAGCAATGTAGAACCCTAAGGTAAAACTAAAGCAGAGTAAAACCCTAGAATAAGGCTAGAGAGCTGAAAACAATATAAGCCTATATAGCAAAGCTAGGGCGGACTAAAAGCCAACAGTTAAGTACAGGTCAAGTACCTTGTGTAAGTGTTCAAACCGTAGTTTTAGTAAAAAAAATCCAAAATTCTGCTGCAAATTTATTTAAAAAACCATTCGAAATTCAAAAATATAGCAAATTTGTAAAAGATTCAATAAGAAATGTCATTAAATCAAGTTTTTTTCTCGTAAAATGACAAAACGTTGGCATCAAAGTTCAGGCACATAACCTTGTTGACATAGAACGAAGTACCAAAAATAATTTTGTCAGAACTTTTGTTGGATTTCAAATTCAAATAGCATTTGTCATCTTTTCCCGTTTCCGTATAAGCTGTGAATGGCACTTTCAACTTCTTCCCATTGATCTCTACTTCAATATCTTGTGGTTGATAACATAGTACCCAATAGGTATCTTGTTCTCGATCGTATTTAGCTGAGAAGGTGCGGATTACTCTGTTGAACAAGGCTTCAGGTAGTACAATATCTTTTGAGACACTGTCAAAGACAGCTTTATAAGGTTTGTATGACTTGAACTTCTCGAGGCTGAAGTATGGTAATGGTACTTGCCAAGTACCATCACAGTTTTTGGTGGTAGGAACATTGACGATGAAAGGATCTACTTTTGGGTAGCTTCCAAAGTAGGTTACTGAGGAGTAGGCACTGAAAACGACATCTATTAGAGTTCAAAAAGTTATGGGTAGGATAGGATATGGTAGAGTAGGGTACGGTAGAGTAAATTTAGGTGGAGTAGGGCAGAGGAGGACTAAAACAAAGCAGGGCAGGGTAGAACAAAGCAGGGCAAGACAGGGCATAACTAGGCAGGGCTAGGTAGGGTTGTACAGGGCTAGGCAGGGCCACACTAGCGTAGGCAAAGATAGGCAGAGCCATAGCCTAATCAGAGCTAGTCTGGGTTAGACTGGCTTATTCACGTAGGGCAGGGCAGGGCAGGGCAGGGCAGGGGCAGGATACGATACTGTAGGCTACGGTGCGAGAGGTTAAGCTAGAATAGACTAAAGTAGAATAACATACCGTTGACCTGTAGTATCTTTTGCACCAAAACACAGTACTTTCTTGTCATACGTACTCAAAACATCTACCCCAGCGCTAGTTTTTCCCTTTTTGTTAGCCAAACCAAACCGACCAGCTACAGTCCCATGAGGACCATCAGCTGGAAAGTATCGACCAGTCGATGAACTAACTACAGCAAATGTTGTATTCAATTTAGCAATCTTATTGAAAATTACAGTATCCTTTCCTAGATCTCCAGAGACTTCCGTTTCAAAAGTGGTACCGTTGGTACTGTAGGTAATGTAGGTTTGGGTAAAATTGGTGTTCAAATCTTGGAATGTTCTCGAATCACGAGGTTCAAAGGTAGAGTCTGAGGGTAAGTTGCTGTATTTAGTGGCATCTAGTACAAAGGTCTCTGGCTGGGAGATGTCGATGTAGAAGTGACGGTACTCATTGTGGTCAGGGAACTTCAAGTGGACATAGTAGTTAGGAGGTGGGTTGCAACTGCATGGTAGCATCGCTAGACATAGTACGATGAGAGTCAGCAGAAACATTGTTTTTGGTCGTACTGTAAAAGTTGTGTTTTTGTAGTAGTACTATATAGCACGATGAGTAAGACAAAGGGTCACTGGAACAAAAAGTTTAGTACGAAAAAGTACTAGTACTGTATAGCACGAGAAATAGTACAAAGAAAATTTGAAACGAACTTTTAGTACAAAAGATTACTGTAACTCAAATTTTACTACCAAATATTACTGTAACTAAAATTTAAAAATAAAAGTCGACTGTAACACAAAACTTAATACAAAAAACAACTGTAAATTAAATCTTCAAAAGATTACTGTAACTAAAATTTAAAAACGAAAGTCGACCGTAACTGAAGTTTTAATACAAAGGATTACTGTAACCCAAGTCTTAGTACAAAAGATTACATTAACTTAAATTATGGTACAAAAAATTACTGTAACTGAAGTTTTAATACAAAACACTACTGTAACTAAGGTTTAACTCAGAACTTTTTTGAACAACCTAGTATGCTTGTGTTGGCTATAACCAAGACCGCCTACATCAATATAACCTAATATATGTCTTCAAGACTCAAAAGTGACTATTTATACTTAAAAATGACGTAGGCTACAACAATATATGTCAAAAGGCTTTTCAGTACGACCAGAAAAGTTGTAGTCAATATTGATGAATCTTTTTGTTACCAATTTTACTATCAGGTTAACGTCCTACTAATGTGGAGGCGGTTAAACACGTTTTTTCTAGTCTACTTACCATCTTTTATCACTTAACATTATGTTATTTATCATTTTAGTCAACTGCACCCAGTTTTTGAGCAGTTAGACTACATTTGAATGCTCAGTGAGCAAAGACCTACCTACTCTATCTTACCCTACCCTGCCCTACTGTACCATTCAACCTTCGAGACCATTCCTGAATTTGAATACCGTCTTTACCCAAACCTACATTACCTACAGTACCAACGGTACCACTTTTGAATCAGAAGTCTCTGGAGACATAGGAAAAGATACTGTAATCTTCAATAAGATTGCCAAATTGAATACAAAATTTGCTGTAGTTAGTTAATTGACTGGTCGATATTTTCCAACTGATGGTTCTCATGGTACTGTAGCTGGTCGGTTTGGCTTGGCTAATAAGAAAGGAAAAAAATAGTACTGGGGTGAATGTTTTTGAGTACGTATGACAAGAAAGTATTGTGTTATTATGCTAAAGATACGACGGATCATCGGTATGTTACCCTACTTTACTTTACTCTCGATTACTCTACCGTACCGTAGCCTACTGTAACGTATTCTGCCCTGCTTGCCTTGCAGTTATGGTAGTGTAGAATAGGGAAGGGTAGAGTAATACTTAATTTCAATTGCTTTTAGTTAGATTAGTCATCAAAATCTAGTCTACTAACGCCGATCGAAGCCAAGGTTTCCGTCGATGACAGTGATGAAAAGAGCTCGGTGAACACATTGACTGATTGCGGTTTGGGGATGTTTTTTGCTATGAGTTTAGGCTTGTGACTTTAGGGTTGTGAGTTTAGGCTTGTGAGCTTAGGCTTGTGAGTTTAGGCTTATGAGCTTAGACTTGTGAGCTTAGGTTTATGAATATAGGCTTACGAGTCTAGGCTTGTGAGTCTAGGTTTGTGAGTCTAGGCTTGTGACTTTAGGCTTGTGAGTTTAGGCTTGTGAGTCTAGGCTTGTGAGCTTAGGCTTGTGAGCTTTTAGGTTTGTGAGATTAGGCTTCTAAGTTTAGGCTTTTGAGCTTAGGCATGTGAAAATAGGCTTTTGTGTCTAGGCTTATAAACTGAAGCTTGTAGACTTTCGTAGACTTAAACTAGGCTTAAACGATTTAGGTCTAGATTTGCCATTTTTTCACATTTCAAAATTTTAAAATTTCAATTTTCAGTTCATCAACGCCGGTGGTCGTTTCTTGTTGCTTATTATGTTCAATTTTGACCTTTCCAGCCATTTTTTACAAAACTTGTATGAAGCAGCAAAGAACGACTACATTTTACGTACCATCTCTTCGTTCAAACATGGAAGCAATCAGTTTTTTCGGCTTAAGATCATTTCAACAGGACGTCGAAAGTTTTCCAAATTAAACCATTCGAAAGTACTTTTATTGATATTGTTATTAGTTTGGCAGTCATATTTAAACAGTCTTCTCTAGCCTTTTATAAACTTTGTTCTACCTTACTTCAAAAGGTGGAACCATAGTGATCTGGACGTTTTTGAAGCTTGTGCAGCCCTTGTTGTGCTATTTTAAATCTTATAACGGTTAAAAGATACTGTAACGCTATTAATTTGTGTTTAAAATTGTAAAATTAAGTGCCGACATAAAGAACCAACCCTTTTTTTACAGGAAATTGCAGGTAAAGTGTGGAGGGTTTTTTTATGTCGGAACCTAATATTTAATTTCTGTTCTTGCAGAGATACTGTAGTACTGAATTTATCACTACTAATACTTGAAAATGGCAGAAGAAATCAAAAAGTTACCGTTGATACCTTTTCATAAGGTAAGTTCGTTAATCCCAGCCCAGAGCCCAGAACCATAATCCAGAGCCCTAGCCCAAAGCCCTAGCCCAGAGCTCTAGTCCAAAGCCCAGAGACCTTATACCTAGTCTTAACTTTATAACCAAATTTTAGTACGATATTGGAAACATAACGTTAACAGCTCTAATCAGTGGATACTCAAAACTGACTGCCCTGTGCTCTACTCAACATGTTGTACTACCTAGCAGTGACCCACTACTTAACATTAGTGCTAAGAAAGCTGCTGAAGAATTGAGAAAAAGAAACGTATGTTAATAGTTTTCAACGATGATTGACATTTTTAAGCCTAAAGTGCCACTTGTAAGCCTAATTCGAATGTTTTAAGCCTAAAAGGAAATTTTTAGCTAAATTGACTGTTTTAAGCTTAAAATGACATTATAACCCTAAAATGACGCCTTCTAGCTTTAGATGACATTTTTAAATCTAAAATGACTTTTTTAAGCTTAAAGTAATATTATTAAGCTTAAAACGACATTATAACCCTAAAATGAAATTTTAAAACCTAAAATGGCATTTTTAAAACCAAAGTAACCATTAAAGCCTAATGTGACATTTTTAAGTTTAATATGACATTTAAAGCCTAAAGCGCCGCTTTTAAGTTTAAAATAAAATCTTAAAAAAACATTTTTAAATCTAAAATGACATTTTAAGTCCAAATTGACATTTAAGCATAATGTGACATTTGTAAGCCTAAATTGCATTTTTAAACCTTATTTAACATTTTTAAGCCTAAAATTACACTTAAAGCCTAAAGCTCTGTTTTTAAGTTTTAAGTGAGACTTCTAAGCCTAAAGTGATATTTTAACCTTAACATGACTTTTTTAAGCCTAGAGTAACACTTTAAGAATAAACTGCCATTTTTAAGCCTATAGTAGCAGTGTTAAGCCTAGTATGAGTTGAGACAAATACTCCGCGTAATATAATATATTATAATATTTATTACAAGACCAATAATAACAATGTTGGTATCAATCGGAGAGCGGATAAAGAGACCGACTGGTCAGGAGACGTGCGTTCCAAATTGACTGCCTGCCACGCGTGCTTTCGGTCCAACGAAGGGAAGAGCGTAAATTTGCATAACTGTTCGGTTTATCACGTGTCCCGAGCGTGGCCCAACTATGACATATTATTTCGAACCTTTCAGATAAAATCATACAACTTGATAACAGCCTATCTAAAACGCATCTACGACGTCAATACCTATATCAATGCGGCTACGGAAGTGTTCGAAGCTGAAGCCTTGCAAGCGGCCAAAGAAGCCGATATTCTTCTAGATAGTATTAGAGATGACAAAGAAGAACGGAAAAGGTAAGGGAAATAAGTCAGAATTTGCAAAAATTTAAATGATTTTTTGGCTAAAAATGACTTTTACAAAATTTTAAATACCCTTGTAGCTAAAATCCGAAAAACCTCTGTTTGGCCTGCCAATTTCAATAAAATGCAGCTTCGACTACAAAGGACATAGAAATGTCTGTGGACTCAACTACAGAAGAGACTTTGCCATCGCTGATGAAAACAGCGAGGCGGTGGCACGGTAAGTCAAGCTAAAGCGAAGGCTAGAGCTCGGGGCTAAGACTCTAGGTTTGGGCTAGACGTGAGGAACGGGCCAGACTTGCTTTGACTTAAATTTAATATCGGCCTAAAAAGCCCGGGCTGTTTTTCAGGTCTAGCTAGCGCTTTTGGGCTAGGGCATTGAAATAGGGCTTTGGGTTAAAGCTCTGGGCTACGGTTTCTGGACTAGAGCTTCTGGGCTAAGGCCCCTGGGCTAGGGCCTCTGAGCTAGGACCTCTGGGCTAGGGCCTCTGGACTAAGGCCTCTGGACTAGGGCCTCTGGGCTAGGGCTCTGAACCAGTGCTTTAGGTTAGGACTCTGAACTAGGGCTTTAGGCTAGGGCCTCTGGGTTAGGGCTCTGGGCTAGAGCTCTTCGCGAGGGCTTTGGGCAAGGGCCGTAGGCTATTGCTCTCGGCTAGAACTCTGGGCTAGGGCTTTGGACTAATGACCTCAATTTCAGAGTCTTATCAGCCGGTGCCATACCAATCTGCTATACCAACGTTCCACCGGGCTGTATGGCATTTGAAACTGACAATCCAGTCAACGGTTGCACCTCCAACCCCCATGACACCCGAATGACACCGGGCGGATCATCAGGCGGGGAGGGGGCTTTGATTGCGGCTCAGGGATCGTTATTTGGAATTGGTACCGACCTAGGCGGTTCCATTCGAATACCATCGGCTTTAAATGGCATTTATGGCTTGAAGGCTAGTAGGACTTGCCCTTTGGAGGGACATGTACCTGCAGTTTACCCTAGTAAAGAAAATGCTGGTTTATTGGCGATTGGACCTATGTGCAGATATGTTGAGGATGCACCTTTGTTGTTCAGTGTAAGTTTTGCTGACTGTGACGTTTTAGGCTTAAATTTACATTATTGTGCCGACATAAAAACCCGCCATACTTTACCTGTAATTACCTGTGAGAAATGGCGGGTTCTTTATGTCGGCACGTAATACTTCAGAGTATAATGACCTTTTAGGATTTTTTAAACATTGTTTGGGCTTGAACTAACATTTTTAGGCTTAGAATGACACTTTTAAAATAAAAACAACATTTTTAGGCTAAAAAGTGACATCTTTAAGCTTAAGCTGAAAATTTTAAGCTTAATATAACTTTTGTAAGCCTAAGTTACATTTAAAGCTTAAATTCGCATTTTAAGCGACCAAAGACTTTTTTAGGTCTAAAATGACATTTTTAAGCATAATGTGACATTTTTTAATTTCGAGACGTTTTTAGGTCTAAAATGACATTTTTAAGCATACTGTGACATTTTTTAATTTCGAGACGTTTTTAGGTCTAAATGAAGTTTGTAAGCCTAAAGCTAATTCTTTTTTCTAAAGAACTAATTTTAAGCCTAAAGAAACAACATTAAGACTGAAATGGCTTTTTTAAACCTAATTTATGTTTCTAAATCTAAAGTGACACTTCTAAGCACAAGAAGACATTTTTAAACCTATTTTTAAGCCTAAAGTAACTTTTACAAGCCTACAATGACATTTTTTAACCTTGAGTGACATTTTTAGTTATAAGTGAATAAGTGAAATTGTATCATAATGCAACATTTTTAAACTAAAATGTCATTTTTACATTAAAACTGACACTTTTACATTTAACGTGGCATTTTTAAGCATGAGATAACATTTTTAAGCCTAAGGGTATGTTTGTAAGCCTACATCAAATTTTGAAACTTAAACTATAACTTCTAAGCCTAATTTGATAATTTAATGTTTAAAACAACTTTCGTAAGCCTAAATTATAGTTTTAAGCCTAAAGTGACACTTATAAGCTCAAGAAGGCATTTCTAAGCCTAAATTGACATCTTGGAGCCTAAATTAACTTTTGCAGCCTAAAATGACATTTGTAAACCTAAAATGACATTTAAGGTCTTAAATGACATATTTATTATTATGTCACATTTTTTAAACTCACAATGACATTTTCTATCCTATTCCGGGTCCTAAACCAAGTCCAAATTCCAAAAAACTTCTTCCATCTCAAGCCTACCTTAATATGCTATAGCACACCAGATTCAAAGCCAATAGTCAAAGTTGAAGAGGTAGTAAGAGAACATGTCTACTTTGTAGCTGATTATCTGGCAGTAGAATATAATGTTGATAAGATGGAACTTGACTTTGGCAAAGATTTACTGGAAATATTCGTCATGTTCTTCTATGCTTATGTTCAGCCACATTTGGATGTGCTGGGTCTTCTCAATCCGGTACGAATATAAAAAAAATGTCATTATACCGTATGATGACATTTTTTTTTGTTTTTATGACATTCTGGACCTTGAACTAACATTTTAAGTTCAACCTGACATTATTTATCCGGACTTACACTTTTAAGCCTACATTGCCCTTTTAAGTTTAAACCGACACTTTTAAGCTTACAGTGACATTTTTTACTCAATGCGACATTTTAAAGCTTACAGTGACAGTTTTAAGCTTAAACTGGCATTTATAAGCCTAAAGTGACATTTTCAAGCCTAAATGGACATTTTTAAGCCTAAGAACAGTTTTAAGCATAAATGACATTTTTATGCTTTAAGTGACATTTTTAAGCCTACGTGAAATTTTTAAGCATAAACTGACTTTTATAAGCCTAAATTGACATTTTCATGCCTAAAGTGACATTTTCAAGCCTAAATGGACATTTTTAAGCCTAAGAACAGTTTTAAGCCAAAATGACATTTTTATGCTTTAAGTGACATTTTTAAGCCTAAATGGACATTTTTAAGCCTAAGAACAGTTTTAAGCCAAAATGACATTTTTATGCTTTAAGTGACATTTTTAAGCATAAACAGACTTTTATAAGCCTAAATTGACATTTTCATGCCTAAAGTGACATTTCCAAGCCTAAGAACAGTTTTAAGCTTGAAATGACATTTTTCATTTAAGGTGACAGTTGTAAGCTTAAACCGACAGTTCTAACTCTCAACTAACATTTTTTGGTTTGAAGTGACATTTCTAGTTGAAAATTACATTTTTTATCCGAATTTACCGTTCTTAGTTTATAATGACATTTTAAGCCTAATTATGACACTTTCAGAAAAGAAAACTAAGTCCATTCAAAGAATTTTTCAAAATATTATTCCAAGCTTCTGATATCGCCTTCACTAATCTACCTATAATCTACGCTTCAAACCAAAGTTTGCCTGTGGAAACTGTCGCTGAAGCTGAAAGGCAAATGAAGATGATTAAAAAACATGTAGAAGATACTTTGGAAAGTGAGTCTTAAAGGATTGAATTGGCATATTTGAGTCATGGTGACATATTTTTTCAAGTTTGTTTTTTATTTTGGTTTCTTTTGACATTTGAATTTTAAAATAGCATTTTAAAGTTCAAAATGACATTTTTAAGCCTATATCTTAAATCTAAAACGACATTTCTAAGCTTAAAGTGACATTTTAAAGCCTAAACTGACATTTATACGCCTAAAGTAACATTTTCAACATTAAAATTACATTTTTAAACTATGAATAACATTTTAAGCCTAAAGAAAAAGTTTTAGTTACATAGTGACATTTTTAAACTTAAAGTTTCGTTTTGAGCCAAAAATGACAATTTTAAGCCTAAAGTGACAGTTTTAAGTCTAAGGTGGCATTTTTAAACCTATTGGGACATTTCTATACTTATATTGAACTTTTAAGCCTAAAGTGACGTTCTGAGCCAAAAATGACAATTTTAAGCCTACTGTGACCTTTATAAAATTAAATTAATCTTTGAAGCCTAAATTGATGTTTTGAGCCAAAATTTACAAGTTTAACCTAAATTCAAATTTTTAAGCCTAAAGTGACATTTTCAAACCTACTAGGACATTTCTAAACTTATATTTTACTTTTACGCTTAAAGTGGCGTCTTGAGCCTAAAATAACAAGTTTAAGCTTATAGTAACCAGTTCTATATTAAATCGCCATTTTAAACAACAAAAAACCGTCGCAACGTATTCTACCTTCAGATAATGGCATCCTGGTCTTTCCGGGTCTTCCAAACACCCATTATTCCACAATGCTATTATTACCCCGCCCAGTTTATACACCGCCATCTTCAATGGACTTAGCTTGGCCACACTGACCGTGCCATCTGGAAGAGATGAAGCTGGATATCCGATATCAGTTCAACTGGTCGGTCCAACTGATTCGGAACTTTTGCTAATGAGTGTGGCTCACCGAATGGAGGAGCGATTTGGGGGATGGATTAAGCCTATCAGCAAGTAATATTGATGTAGATCATTATTAAAACAATTTATTCGAATAAAGGTTAGATTTTGTGTCGTTTTAATGTATTTTTAAGCTTAAACTGGCATTTCTAAACGTAATTTGAAATGTTTTAGCCTGAATTAACATTCCTAAGCGTGAGATAACAGCTTTAAGCCTAAAATGACATTTTAAGCCTAAAGTGGCATTTAAAGCCTACAGTGACATTTTTAAACCTAAAATGGCTTTTTAAGCCTAAAATGAGTTTCAAGGTTAACATGACATTTTTAAGCTTAGGCTAACATTTTTAAGCCTACACTGAAATTTTTCAACTCGAACTGACAACTTTAAGCTTAAAATGACCTTTCTAAGCCTAAATTGACATTTTTAAGCCTAAAGTGACAGTTCTAAGCCCAAATTGACACTTCTAAGCCTAAAGTGACATTTCTAAACTTAAAGGGACATTTTTAAGACTTAAATGACATTCTTAAGCTCAAAATTATTTTTTTAAACCTAAATTGAGATTATAAGCCTAAAGAGTCATTTTAAAGCCTGAACTGACATTCTGAAGCTTAAATTGACATTTAAAACCTTAAGGGACATTTTCAAGATACAGTGACATTCTTAAGCCTAAATTGAAAGTTTAAAGTCTAACGTGCTATTTCTAAGCCTGAAGCAACATTTTTTAAAGTGACATTTCTAAACGTAAAAAGAAGCTTCTAAGCCTAAACTGACATTTAAAAGCCTAAAATGGCTTTTCTAGGCCTAAACTGACATTCCTAAGCATAAGATGACATTTTAAGACAAAAAGGACAAGTATAAGCTTACAGTGACATTCTTAAGCCTAAAGTAAAAGTTTAAAGTCTAAAATGACATTTCTAAGCCTGAAATGACATTTTTTGGCCTAAATTGACATTTTGTAAACCAATTCAAACTCAAACTGTAACAGTTTAATGATCAGTTCATGTTCAAGTCAGCCGAAGGTCAGTGTGATTAGTAATAGGTGGAGAAACTCAGATCAAAGGATTCAGAGTTTCAGTACACGATAACCCAAATTAGGATGAGAAATGCGGTTCCGAGGAACGACGAGAACAGCCCCGGGGCTTTGTTGCAAAAGGGCTGGTTGCAGATGCATGTGGTTTGGTTTAGGTGTGCTATTCCTTCTGTTTTCGAGACAATCGTGCCATTTTTGGGTGTTGTTGAGTCCTGAAATGATGTTTTTGAAGAAAAATAGCAAGAACTTTTTTTACAAACCAAAAAATGGCAATAACTTTCTTTACAAACCAAAAAATGGCAAGAACTTTCTTTACAAAACAAAAAATGGCAAAAACTTTCTTTACAAAACAAAAAATGGCAGGAACTTTCTTTACAGAACAAAAAATGGCAAAAACTTTCTTTACAAAACAAAAAATGGCAGGAACTTTCTTTACAGAACAAAAAATGACAAAAACTTTTTTTACAAATCAAAAAATTGCAAAAACTTTCTTTACAAACCATAAAAGCTACACTTACCTGACAATATCTTTGAATACCTTGAAGTTCAGCTGAAATTTCAAAAAATTTTAAAATAAAATGGCATTTTTAAAACTAAAACTGATTTTTTTAGGCTTGAGATAACATTTCTAAGCCTAAAGAGACATTTATAAACCTAAAATGACATTTGTAAGCCTAAATTTACATTGTTAAGCCTAAAATGAAATTTTAAGCCTAAAGTCACATTTTTAAGCCTAAAATGACATTTTAAGCCTAAAAGCACATTTTTAAGCCTAAAATGACAATTTAGGTCTTAAATGACACATTTTTTGCCATAAAAGTTTAAAACCTCAATATAACTCACGTAATGTTGTATTGTAGTCCGTATGTACTGTATATTGAGATTGGCACTTGTACATGCACCATGAATCTCGGACACTGTCTCTAAAACAGGATTCTTGATTGATACTACTTCTATTGACTTTGTTCGTACAGCCATAGCAATCCAGCCCGTTCACTGTCCTATAGTCGCCTGAAATGGCATTTTTAAGCTTAACATGACACTTTAAGCCTAAAATGTCAGTTTAACCCTAAGCTACGATTTTTGGCTTAAAATGACGTTTTTAAACCGAAAATGACTTTTTAAAGCTTGCACGGTGCAAATTCTCCCAATTTTGGGGATTGCACCGTGCAAAAAATTAAAAACTCAAAAAAAGCCGTGAAAACCAAAAATTTTTAAAATTTTGTTTTAAGACATCAAACCGACGTCTTATTCTACATACAACACCAAATTAATGTTTACTTCAGTTTAAAAATTGGGTTGCAACAAGGCTTTGAAATTCTTTGCACGGTGCAGTTTTTTATTTTTGTGATTGCACCGTGCAGTTTTAAAACAAAGCTTTTTAAAGATTTAAAAATATTTTATGAATATAAAAGCTTAAAATTTTTTTTTGCCGAAAAATTAAATGCTGAAAAAAGAATGACACTATAAAAAACGGCCTTACTTATAAAAGCGGCCAAAATCGTCCACAAGAACCGCATTTCCAGTTAATTTGTCTCGTCCGAACGAAGTCGACCGACCGGTTGGAACAGAATTGTTAAGAAAAATAAAATTTTATTATTTTTTCTATTTAAAAATTTGCATAATGACTTGAAATCATGGGCAATTTGCGAAAATCGACCATTTTTTGTCTTGTAACTCGTGGAAGACGGCTGCAACTTTAGAATGTCTGAGAGTTCAGAAACAAGAGAAAGGGTAACGAAACCACAGAAGAAGAAACTCGGCAGGGTAGGTGTTTTACGGTGGAGGTGAATTGTGTTGCTTTTGTTTCTTTGCAGCCTGCGGAGTGAGGCCGCAGCGCGCAATGGGGTAATTGATTTTGATTTTGTTTTTTGACTGTTTTCCGTGAACTTTTGAGGTTGTTAGGCTTGAAAAAGGCGTTTTTACTATTTTAAAATGACGTATTCAGCTTTTGTTAACTAAACCCTAGGTTTTACCTTTCTTTTAAGGTATAAATCAACCTTTTTCTAACGGCTTTTTATAATTTGCTTTGTGTTTTTCTTCATTACCTTCTTGTTTTCCTCAATTTATGTCCACTTTTCAGGGTGAAATTGTCGAAACAAGCCATGCCAGTTACGAAGTTATCTTACTCTTGGGCGAAGGTGGATTTGGCGCAGTTTACCGAGTCAAAAACAAATCAACCGGCGAACAGTTCGCCATGAAAGTGGAGTATTCGTCGATTAAGAAGAGCAAGTTGAAGATGGAGATTGCCATTCTGAAGTCGCTCGACTTTAAATGCAAGCACTTCACTCGGATCGAAGGCAGAGGACGTGGCAAGAATTTTCAGTTTGTTATCATGACTTTAGTGGGGCCAAGTTTGGAAGATATGCGACGAGAACGGCCGAAGAAGGTCTTCAGTTTGGGGACGGCGTTCGGAGCTGGAATTCAGTGTTTAGAAGCGATTCAAGAGTTGCATCAGCAGAAATACCTTCATCGTGACATAAAACCGGCCAATTTTGCTAGAGGTTTGGAGATTTTTAGGAGAATCGTGAGTTTTTGCCTTTTTTTGTGTCCTGTTTTTAGGTAATGAAGACTGATGGTGAATATGTGAGTGAATTTAATGGAAATAAAGGTTTTTAAAGGTAAAATAGGTATGAAAACAAATTCAAAATATTTTTTTCACTTTTCTGATGTAAACCTGCTTAAAAAAATTATGTTTTCTCGGTGTTTCTCAATTTTTCAATAAGTTGTTACCTACAACAAGGTAAATTGAAGATTTTGTAAATCCTAGTGAAGGTTTAAGCTCCAAAATGATAAAGCAAGCAAGAGTAGTGCTTTTTCTAAATTTTAGAACATGTGTTCACGGCCGGGGTTGCGTGAGCGTTATGGAGTTGAGATTTTTATATTACACTTGACATCAAAGTGATGTCTTATAGATTCCTATGGTTTTGGAGGTTGTTTTAGTTTTAAATTAGTAAATTAAGACAGAATAACGTATGATATTAATATTGACACGTTGTTTTGTATACAAATTTGCGTAAGATTAAAGATAATGGGCTTTATATATTACACATGAGAGTTTAGTCTAAACTTTTTGGTTTTCTTGATTTTTCAGTGGTTTTTAGCTTTGAACTAGTAAATTATTACTAAATTTTGCTTTTTTGGTGATTTAGTTTATGTTTTTGATCTCAGGTGTACCTTCTGGACTTTGGAATCGCCCGAAAATTCACAAACGAGGAGGGAGAGTTGAAAACGCCGAGAAAGAAGGTCTATTTCAAAGGGACGGTACGATTTGCGGCCATAAATTGTCACAAAGAGATTGAGTTGGGCCCCAAAGATGATGTGGAAAGCTGGATCTACCTTTTGTTGGACATTTTAGTGCCAGGTGGACTACCGTGGAGAGGATTGGAGACCAAAGACGAAGTGCTACAGTCGAAGAAGGCCAGCAGGAAACCGGACGTCAGAAACAAGGCAATGTTCGGAAACATGAAGTGTGATATTATACTGGGCAAGGTCATTGACTATGTGGATGGACTAGCCTACTCGGATCATGTTGACTACGCGTATATTGTGGACTTGTGCAAGCTGGTAAGGATTTTGAATTTTGTGGGTTTTAGGGTGGGTATTGATGGTAGGGTAGGGTAATGTAGGGCATGGTAAGGCAGAGTCGGGCAGTATAGTTTGAGATGAAATTGGGACAGGGTACTATAAGGTATGGCAGGGTACTTTTAACTAGGCCAGGGTGGAGTAAGATATGGTGGGGTTATGAATATTGATTTACAAATTGCCATTTCAGGCTTGTTCGGCGTGCCAAGGAAACACTGAAGACCTGTACGATTGGGAGAAGGCAGACTAAATCAACCACAGCTCCAGTGACCAGCAAGACATCTTCAACTTGGATTATCTTGACGTTTATGTTTTAGAGATAAAGTCTTTTGTGCTATACCGTGTGTATTGTTATCTTACCTTATCCTATTGTACTGTATTCTGACCTAGCTTACTCTTTTACTCTACTCTACTCTATCTCAATGCTCCGATGGCAAACGTAACGTGATAAGCCTAAACTTCTCTTTGATTCATAAAGTTTGTCTTTGGTCGAAAATGAGGTAAAATAGTGACCAAAGACTTTAAAATGCATTTTTAAGTTTATTTTATGTTCAAAATACTTTCTATTGCCATAGTATGAACATGTTATTGTACTTTTTTGATATATCACCGTCTGAACACATTATAAAAGAGTTGAAGACTTTAGTTTACTTCATGTTCAATATAATTTATATTATCATCGTCTGAACACAATATGAAACTTTATTTAACATACCACGGTAAAAGCATATTATATAACGTTTGTACACAATCTAATATACTATTACAATGGCATGATCAGATAATGAACAATTCAAGTATCACATCACGTCAACCTCACTAATTGATCAACTTGAACACGACGTAGATTACTATGAGAAGGCTGAACGAGGCGTAGTTGGATGAAGCCGCCTTTCCCACGATCTTGTTCTTGAGTTTTTCGAAGAAGCCCGCCTCCTGCGCTTCGTGAACATTGGTTTGCTTGTTGGACAGATCGCCCTCGGTGATGCATTCGTAAGCCGTACCAGGTAACGGCGTCTTAATATCCTTCTTCTTGCAACCCAGCTAAAAGTGGGTAAGTTGATAAAATACGGTTTATAATAGAAGAATAAGCATAAGCACAGTAGGGCCGGTATACTGTGAATTTGAAAAAAATTTTTAATTAATTTCAACTTATCTGGGCGTCTTCAGTAGCGCACCAGCGTATAATTTCAACTTCCTTCTTGCCTGAAAACAAGTTTTTAGGTATTAAACCAACGTATTCTACCTTACCCTACTCTACCCTACCCTATCTTACTTTTTCTCACTCTATTCTACCGTAACCTATCCTATTCTATTGTACTGTACTCTACCGTACTCTACCTTACCCTACCATTCCGGTGGCTTGAAACCTAAACGTATCTTTGATTCATAAAACAACATACCATTATTATCGTACACCCCTTCTCCCATAAAACATTTGGTGGTGGCGCCGCACGTTCTCTTCAGCTTATCTTCCACTTTGCCGAGATCATTGAAACACGCCTCGTTTATAATACCAAGTTCCGTTTTCCTGGCCGAACAGTCGTAGCATAGGACCGTGTGTACGACCGGACATGCTGAAATCACGATATAAAAATAGGGTATCAGGTGCCGACATAAAGAACCCGCCATTTTTTACAGGAAATTACAGGAAAAGTATGGCGGGTTCTATATGTCGGCACCTAATATGCCATGTCTTTGGGCAAAAATGGGGTAGTATTTATAATACTTTCATGACATTTACAGGGAATGCCATATTAACTATATATTGTTGGTACTTACCCACCAAATAGACCACAATCAAGCCCCTGAACATTGTTTTTGCAACCGGCGAAAGTGATTGAAAACCGACCAGCTTTGATCAAGTTCCCTTGTTATACAAACTGTCAGATTTAAAAATATAAAAAACTTTTAAATTTCAATTTTTTGAATTTTGAAAATCTTTTTAATTTTTAGAACACAGAATTATTTGCCTTACCGAATAGAATATTTTATGGAAGATATTATGCATTGCACATGATTTAATATTGTCTTTGAGTATAAGTTATACGATGAAAAGTGCTCTGCTACTTTTGGTCCAACCTAATATGATAGGTTAGAAAAAAGGGTAATAAAAGCAACCAAAATGAAAAAGTAGAGTCAGGGTAAGACAAAAGTAAAAAACAAATCAGAAAAGAGTAGGGCAAGAGTAGGGCAAAGATAAGGGAAGAGTAGGGTAAGAGTGAGACAAGAGTGAAGCAAAGGTAAGGCAAGAGTAGAGTAAAAGTAAGACAAGTGTAAAGCGAGAGTAGGGCAAAAGTAAAGCAAGGATAATGCAAAATCAGCAGAACGGCAAAGGTAAAGCAAGCATAGAGTCCGGCTAGGACAAGAGTAAGATGAAAGTAAGACAAAGGTAAGATCAAAGTAAAGGAACGATAAGACAATAGTAAAGCAAGGGTAGGGCAAGGATAGGGAGAAGGTAAGACATTCTCTACCCTCCCATCCAAAAAAGTAAAGCAAGAGTTTTGCAAAAAGAAAGCAATAACAGGGTAAGGGTATGGCAAGGGTATGGAAAAAGTAGAGCAATAGTAGGGAAAAGGTAAAGCAAACACAAGGCAAAAATAGATCAAGGTTTAGATGAAAGTAGGGCAAGAACAAGGCGAGAGTAGCGAAAAAAGTAAAGCAAGGGTAGGGCAGTAACGTCGTTTAGGGGGGGGGGCCTGTACGCGAAAAAACAAAAAAAAAAATTTTTTTGAAAAATCGGTCCACAGGTAAGCTACCTGTGGACCAAAAAAAATTTTTTCGACTTTCCCCCCTCAGAGAAAAAACCGTAGCGACGTCCCTGGGGTAGGGCAAGGCAAAGGTAGAGAAAACACAAAGGGAAAGTGAAGCAAAGATAAAACAAGAGCAAAAAGCAAATTTTTTAAAAATTTTTGGTTAAAATGCTCAAAACTTTTCGGACTTGAACAATTTAAAAAAAGTTTAAAAATTATTCATCTTTTTTCAAAAAAATTTTTTTTGTTAAAGTTCAAATGAGAGTCATGATGAAAGGGAAATTAGTCAAACAGAGATGGTTTTTCCAATTTTGAGTCATAATTGATTGTTCGAACAATTGAAATTGGTCGGTCGAAGTTTCAGTCTTGGTGATAATCTATAACTAACCATGCTAGTCCAAGTTGGTATCTTTGTCACGCTTCTTAGTATGTTTTTTCTCCCTACCCTACCCTACCCTACCCTACCTCAATTTAACTAATTTTTTAAATAATTTTAGCTACTTCGGCTATGGCAACAATCCGTTGCTATGATTGCGTTGCAGTTGATGGCGACATTGTGCCTGATGCGTTCAAGAAGTTCTTGGATCCCAAGTGTTTTACGCCGAAGGAACTGGATAATAAGAACATGAAGAACTGTAATTATGGCTGTGTTCTTAGCAAAGGCAGTGTTTTTGTGGGAAAAAGTAGGTATACTAAATATATATGTATGTACAATGTACAGAGGCGTCGCAACGGATATTATTTTAGATTCCGCCGAAGCTGTTACACGTGGTTGCGCTGAAAAAGATGATAAAGTATGATTTTTTTATTTTTTAATTCGATAATTTTTTAAAAAGATTTAAAAAAAAATTTTTTTTTGAATTGATGATTTTTTTACATTTTTAATTAATTTTTTTGAAAATTTAAAAAAATTTTTTTATAAAATTGTTTGAACAGATAAATTTTTTAAATTATTGTAAAATTTTTTGAATTGTTTATTTTTTTTAAATAATTTTTTGAACCGAATTGTTTTTTAAGTTTTTTTTAAATTATTGTAAAATTTTTTGAATTGATAATTATTTTTTTGGGTTTTTTTTAAATTTTTTGATTGATTATTATATTTTTTTTCATTTTTTTAAAATTTCTTTAATTGATTATTATTTTTTTAAACTTTTTAATTCTTTTTTAAAGTTTTTTTAAAATTTTTTTAAAATTTTTTGAACTGATTTGTATTTTTTTATTTTTTTTTTAAATTTTTTGAATTGATAAATTTTTTTAAAAAATTTTTTAAAATATTTTGAATTTTGATAATTTTTTTTTCATTTTTTAGCTGGGAACATGCATGGAACTAGAAAAAAAGCTTTTTAATGTTTTGGACTTTAAAACCACGTACTGTGCTTCTGCTGGAGAACTGTCCAATTCGGCCGCTTCTTGGTCCATCTCTCTTGTCACGTTCGGCTTTGTCTCCATTTGGCTCAGTTTGTGATGATTGAGGATGTGAATGAATGGCTTGTATCTGATCTAGTCTACTGACTTTGGCTTGTACATAAACTTGACTGGTTTGATTTGATTTTGGTTCTTTTTGACTTTGACTAGCTATTTTTTGAATATAATGTTGTTCAAATAATTTTGAGTTCCCCAGGCTTTGCAATTTCCCTTTGAGAGGTAGTGTAAGGTAAGATAGTTCATGTAAACTACTGACAGTACATAGTAAAAAAAAATTTTAACTGATTTTGAGCAAGCAGGTTATCTGTTAGGTGCCGACATAAAGCACCTGCCATATTTTGCCTGTAATTTCTTGTAAAAACTGGCGGGTTCTTTATGTCGGCACCTAATAATTTTTTTGTAAGTTGTTCAATTAATTCTGTGTCTTCTTTTCCTTCAAATTGACTTTAAAAAAAAGCAAAGAATTAATTGAACAACCCAACAACTGAAGCCCTGGTTCTAGTCCTACTTTATCTTTTGCCCCAACTTTTTTAGCCTTAGGCCAAGATCTTACCCTTATACTTCTGCTTGAATTAAGTTCGTTACTCACAAAGAGACTACACGACCTGCTTTGCTCAGATTGACTTCAAACTTTATATATAGAAAGATCATGTAAATGTAAAACCTCCAGCAACGTACTAAGTCGCGCTTTCTAGAAAATCTCGAAAAAATCGAGATCAAAAAACTGCGTTTTGAATTTCTCGCCAAATTGGCATTGTGTTTCAAGTTTATAACTTTGTCATTTTTTGACTTTTAATTATTTTTTTTTGATATACTAGTAGACGACCTTTAAATAAACCTACGTCTGTCAATTTGTAAGCGTAGCTTGTCTGCAAAGTCGAAAAAAGTCCTTATTTTTAGTATGAGGACACATTTCATCGTATAAGTTGTCGCGCTTTTATCGGCCGCAGTTGTTTGCAATTAAACCTTGTTTTTCCTTCAAACTTTTGATCTTTTACGAATAAAAAAAGAAAAATTGGTTAAAAAAACCAAATTAAAAAAATTTTAAAAAAATTGAATTATATCTGACTGATTTGACGACTGAAAGCAGTCGGTTTGGACCTCTTCGCTCTTCTTGGTACTCAACAATGCTGTTTCGTGCTACCATCCTCTTCTTTCTTTTTGGTAAGTTAATTTACTGAGCTTATGAGGACTTCGTATCTTAATTATAAGATGAAAACATGAAATTTAACGCTAGAGTTTGATTAAAGCAAATGTTGAGCTTGACATAGGGTTTGGGGTACGGTAGAACTAGTGTAAGGTTGAGCTAGGGCTAAGGCTGGTCTAGAGCATTGAATAGTTTAGTCTAGACTAGATAATGCGCCAGTCTAAAGCAAATAACAGTTTAGGGTAGGGTAGGGTAGGGTAGGGTAGAGCAGGGTAGGGTAGGGTAGGGTAGGGTAGGGTAGGGTAGGGTAGGGTAGGGTAGGGTAGGGTAGGGTAGGGTAGGGTAGGGTAGGGTAGGGTAGGGTAAGGTAGGGTAGGGTCATTTTTTAATGCTTCAATTTTAGTTTCCGCAACTTACTCGATCCGCTGTTTCAACTGTTCTTACAGTATCAACCCAACTATAGGCAATCCCATATGTTTGGAGCCGGAGCAGATGAAGCAGAACGAGAGTTTTATGACAGAATGCCAGTACGGATGCGTAAAAGTTCATGTGGATATTACTGGACCCAAAGGAGGTAAGTTTTCAATTTTTTAAAATTAAATTTGTCTGCCTAGAATAAGATTTTTAAGCCTAACTGATATTTATAAACGTAAAATGTCAGTTGTAAGCCTAAAATAAAGTTTTGAGATCTAAAATGACATTTTAAGCCTAAAATGACATTTTTTAAGCCTAAATTAGCTTTTTTTCAAAAAGGCGATTTTTAAGCCTAAATTACATTTATAAGCATCAAATGGCACTTGTAAGACTACAATAACGTTTTGAAAACTAAAATGACATTTTTGAGCCTGAATTTATATCTATAAGCCTAAAATAAGACTTTTAAGCCTACAACGACATTTTAAGCCTAAGAACAATTGTTAACTTGAACTGGAATTATTAAGCCTAAAGTGACATCTTTATGCCAAAAATAAGAAATTTAAGCCTAAAATGACATTTTTAAGCCTAAAAACAGTTTTAAGCCTAATATGACGTTTTTCAGCCTAAATTGGCGTTGTCAAACCTAAAAACAAATTTAAGCCTAAAATGACGTTTTTAAGCCTAAAATGGCATGACCAAACCTAAAAACAATTTTAAGCCTAAGACGACATTTTTAAGCTTCAAGTGGTATTTTTATGCCAAAAAACATTTTTAAGCCTAAAATGGCATTTTTAAACTTAAAATGAAATTTTTAAGCTTAAAATTCTACTTCTTTCAATTAAAATCAACTTTTTTTTCAGAAACTGCCTATGCTCTCCTTCGTAAATGTAGCACGGAGACGGACGAGGTAAAAAATTTTTAAAAATTTAAAATATTTTTAAAATTTTAATTTTAAAATATTTACATAATAACTTTTTTTTGTTTTTGATCTTGTTTTAGGTTGGATGTGAGTCTAGAACTGAGGTTAAGAATAATGTGACCTTCGACATCTACACTTGCGTATCCAAAGACGAACTGTCCAATTCGACTGCCACTTGGTCGCTCTCTTGCTTGCTGTTCTTCATCCTCTATATTGGCTATTACTGGTGATTCTTGATGAAATAAACAAGACTGATTTTGAGTTTTAGTGGTTTTGCTTTTTATCAATGATTAGATATGGCAAGACAACTAACCTGGTGTCAAGAGAATTGAAAAATAACGTTCTTTTGATTGTTTTGTCAAAAAGATTACTGTATTTCACTATCTAGTACACTGCCTATTTAAATGCGGGCATATTTTATCGTATAAGTTGGGGCGCGTTTATCGGCCGCAGTTGTTTGCAATTATATTCTGTTTTTGGCTTAAAAATGACATTTTTAGCATATAAATGTCATTTTATTCTTGAGATTGTCATATAAGCTTAATAATGTCATTTTACATTTAATAATGACAATTTGGCTTAAACATTTCATTTTTGGCTTAAGAATGTTATATAGGCTTAGTAATGTAATTTTAGGTTTAATAATGTCAGATAGGCTTAAACACTTTAGTTACGGCTTAATAATGTCGTTTTTAGCTTAAAAGTGTCATATAGACTTGCTAATGTTGCTTTAGGCTTAAAAATGTCATTTTAGACTTACGAATGTCATATAAGCTTTGGAGTTTCATTTTAGGCTCAATAATGTCAGTTTAGGCTTAAGAATGTCATATTGGTTTAGTAATGTTAGTTTAGGCTTTAAAGTATCATATAAGCTTAAACATGCATTTCAGGCTTAAAATTATATTTTGTTTCTGTTTCGAACTTTTGACCTTTTACAAATACAAAAAAGAACAATTAGTCAAAAAAAGGGAATTTTGAGAAACTTTGAATCATATCTGACTGATTTGACGACAGAAAACGGTCGGTTTTGCCTTTTTGCTCTTGCTGGTACTCAACAATGCTGATTCGTGCTGCTATCCTCGTATTGCTTTTTGGTATGTTACTTTACTTGTAAGGGTTTCAGTGTTTTAGTTATAAGAATGTTAGTTTTGAAATTTGGGCTAATTGTAAAGCTAGGGTTGGGACTAGGTCTCTGGGCTTTGAACTAGGACTCTAAGCCAGACGTAGACTTAGACCTAAGCCTAGACCTAGACCTAGGTCTCTGGGCTCTGGACTCTGGGCTCTGAACTAGGACTCTAAGCCAGTCCTAGACTTAGACCTAGACCTAAACCTAGACCTAGACCTAGACCTAGACCTAGACCTAGACCTAGACCTAGACCTAGACCTAGACCTAGACCTAGACCTAGACCTAGACCTAGACCTAGACCTAGACCTAGACTTATACCTAGACCTAGACTTAAACCTAGACCTAGACTTAGACCTAGACTTAGATTAGGCTTAGATTAGGCTTAAATTTGAAGGTAGGTTAAAACTAAGCTTGACAATAAGCTTGAGATTAGGCCTGAGGCTAGGTTTGAGGCTAGGACTCTGGGCTAGGGCTTTGGGTTAGGGCTCTGGGCTAAGGCTTTAAGCTAGGACTTTAGACTAGGGCCTTAGACTAGGGCTCCAAGCTAGGGTTTTGGACTTGGACTAGAGCTCTGGGCTAAGTCTCTATGCTAAGGCTAGAACTCTGGGCTAGAAATATGGCAACTTTTTAACTTTAAAATTTTAGCGGCCGCGTCCTTCTCAATTCGCTGCTACAAATGTGAATATCTGTCTGACAACAATATGACTATTGCTGCTGATGCGTGTTTGGAGCCGTCGAAGCTGAACGACACTTTTACGACTGACTGCGATTTCGGATGCAAAAAAGAACATGTTTTTAGGTCTAATGAAACTGGTACGTTTTAAAGCTTTTATGATCGATAAGTAATGCTTTAAACTTTAAATGACATTTTAAAACCTATATTGACCTTTTTAAGCTTCAGATTACATTTTTAGGCCTAGAATGACTTTTCCAGACTGAAATGACAATTTAAAGCCTAAAATGACGTTTTGAAATCTAATGTGATTTAAGCCTAAAATAACAGATTATGTTTAAAATGACACTTTTGTGCCTAAATGACATTATTATGCCTTACATGACAATTTTAAGCCTGAAGTGACAGTTTTAGTCTGAAGAGACATTTTAAAGCCTAATATGCCATTTTTAAGCCTAAAGTGACATTTTATGTTTTTACTGACGCTTTTAGGCCTTTGACATTGTTAGGCCTAGAATGATATTTGTAGTTTTAAGCCTAAACTAACACCTTTTTATTTAAAAATATTTTTTTTCAGATAGCGCCGAGCACTTGAAACGTGATTGCAGTGATGAGAAAGACGAGGTAGTTTGAACTTTCTTACTTAAAATTTCTATTTTTAAATTAAAAATTTAAAAATTTTTAAAGTTTTTAAATTTTTAAAACATTTTTAAAATTTTTAAAATCTTGAAATTAAAAAAAAATTATTTAGGTTGGTTGCACAGAAGAAACCACCATCACTCCTCAGAACATCACCGTCGACACCTACACTTGCGTATCCAAGGACAAACTGTCCAATTCGACTGCCACTTGGTCCATCTCGTACTTGCTGTTCTTCATCCTCTATATTGGCTACTACTGGTGATTCTTGATGAAATAAACTAGACTGATTTTGAATTTTAGAGGTTTTGCTTTTTATAAATGATAAAATATGTCATCAAATCAAGAAAATTGATCTGGTATCAAGATCAGAACCAAGCCGGACGGGCACTTTTAATCTGGAAGCGGAGGGAAAAAAATCCACAAAGGGGACCACGTTCAAGTTTTTTCAAAAAAAATCTTTGGGAAGGGCCGTTTATAAACGGCATATAAGCTTTAAAGTGTCATTTTAGGCTTGATAAAAGCATTTTTGGCTTACAGATGTCATTTAAAGTTTATAAACGAACATATGCTTTAAAATGTCACCTTAGGCTTGATAATGTCGTGTTAGGCTTAAAAAGGTCATTTAAGGTTTATAAACGAACATATGCTTTAAGATGTCACATTAGGCTTGATAATGTCGTTTTAGGCTTAAAAAGGTCATTTAAGGTTTATAAACGTCATATAGGCTTTAAAATGTCATGTTAGGCTTGATAATGACGTTTTAGGCTTGAAAATGTCACTTTAAAGTGTATAAACGGCATATAAGCTTTAAAATGTCATGTTAGACTTGAAAATGTCGTTTTAGGTATAAAAATGTCACTTTAACCCTAATATTAGAAAAAAGACTATTTCCTAAAAAATCATTTTTAAAAAATTTAAAATTTTTTTAAAAACTCAAAGATTTTTCAAAATCTTCATTTTTACGTCACCAAACCCCCTCGACCAGTCGGAAACCTCAGAATGGCCTTACAAGTACCATCAACCACCTCCGTAGCGACCGCAGTACCAGTAAACTCGTCCTCGTCGCGCGACACTGACAACAAAGATGAGTACGGTAATTACTCTGTAGTTGTTCGTACTGCCACTTCCATACATGCTGGTACGAACGCCAACATCTTTATTCAACTCAACGATATTGAGGGTACCAAAACGGACAAAATCAGATTGAAGTGCTCAATTAGTCATCGGAAGAAGTTTCAACGTGGTCATGTAAGTGTTTCTATAGGTTTTTTAAGGTATTTAAGCCTAAAGTAAGGTATTGAAACTTAAGATAGAATTCTTTAGTCTTACGTAAGATTCTGAAGCTTAAAATGACATTTAAAGGTCTAAACTAACATTTTCATACTCGAGTTGCCAGTTTTAAGCTTATAATAAAAAAGGTAAGCTTTAGAGGACTTTCATAAGCCTAAAATAACATTTTTAAAGTTAATATGACTTTTAAGAATAAAATGACACTTTTTAGTTTAAAATGACATTTTTAAGCCTAAACTGACAATTTTAAGTCGAAGCTGACATATTTCAGCCTATATGATGCTTTTAAGCCTAAATGACATTTCTAAACTTAGAATAATATTTTTAAGCCTAGAATGACATTTCCAAGTCTAAAACAAAAATTTTAAGCCAAGAATGACGATCCTAAACCAAATAAACTATTTCAGGCGGACCTGTTCATGTTGGTCGACCAAAACCTGTTGGTTCAGTTAAAGACGGTGGAGGTGTGGTGTGAGGGTCGAAGACGAAGAGATTGCTGGCTGTGCCATTCGATCGACGTTCTGGATCATCAGTCCAATGTGATGTACCATTTCCCGTTAAACAAATGGCTTGGCGAGTCGAGTGAGCAGGTCAACAGCAACACGAACTACGCCCTTCTGAATGTGGCTTCTCCAACCTTCAAAGTGTTCAGCAAAGAAGACTTTGTTTAAGCTTAAAATTGGTTTTCTTTAAATAAACAGAGTTTTAAGGTTTTTATGGGTATGACAGTCAATAAATAATCTAAAATGATCCAAAAAAAAACAATACAAAGGCATTTTTGTTTTATTTTTAAAATTTTAAAAATTTTAAGTTTTCTTCAAACGTGCCAAGCCGTGTTTAAGAATTTTTTAAACAGGCCAAGCCTGAAAAAAAAGCTAAAACAAGTTGGGCCAAAAATTTAGGCACGGCCTAAGCCTAAAAAGTTCATCATGACTAAGTAGGATAGGATAATGTAGGGCAGTACAAGGTAGCTTAGGATAGGTAAAGTAGGTAAAGGCAGGCAACGGCAAGGTAAAAGCAAGCAAGGCAAATGCAAAGGCAAAGGCAAGACAACTGTTTGGTTCCAATACAAAATTTGAAAAAAAATTTTATTTTTTTACTTTTACTAAGAAAACGGTCGGTTTTGTGATGATTACCGTAATCTTATGTCTATTCTTGGTACATTCTGTGATTGGATTGCAGTATAAACTTGGTCAAAGCTGTTCAGCGGAGGAAGAAGACAGTGTTTTCTGTGGTTATGACACTATTTTTCATTCATGGTCGTGCTGTGGTGAAGCTCAAAAGTGTTGCTGGTTTTTTGAGGTAGGTTTGATTTTAAAATGTCTTTATATGTTTAAAACTGTTATTTTAAAATGAAGAATATTATTTAGGCTTAAAAATGGCATTTTAAGCTTAGAAATTTCAGTTTAAACTTAAAAATGTCATTTAGGCTTTAGAATGTCATTTTAGGCTTAACAATGTCTTTTTAGGCATAAAAGTGTCAATTTTGACTTAATAATGTCATTTTAAGCTTAACTTTGTATTTTAGACTTACAACTGTAATTTTGGCTTACAAATATTATTTTAGGTTTAAAGAAATTGCCTTAGGCTTAAAAATGTCATTTAAAGTTTATAAATGTCATTTTGAGATTGATAATGAAATTTTTTCAGATCTTCTTCTACGCCATGCTCTGCACATTGATTCTACTGTTCCTTGGCTGCATCGGTTGCTCCATGATGAACTCTTTCCAACAGAAGATCCCAAAAGAAGACAAGTTCTTCTATTAACACTTTTAAAATTGTTTTAATGTGAAACACAATAAATTTTTTTTTGAATTGATATTGAATTTATTTGTTTTTTAGGCTAGAAAGAGCTAGAGCTCAGATTAGAGGCGAAGCTAAGGTTTAGACTAAAACTGAGACTAGAACTGAGGCTAGAGCTGAGTCTAAGGCTGAGGCTATGGTTGGGACTAGGGTTAATTGTAAGACTAAAACTGAGGCTAGGGCGAAGGCTAAAGCTGAAGCTAAAGCTAAATTTGAAACTAGGGCTGAGGCTAGGGCTAAGACTAGGGCTGAGGCTGGGGCTGAAACTAAAGCTGAAGCTAGGGCTGAGGCTAGAGCTGAGGCTAAGCCTTTAACTTAGCCTAAAGCTAGAGCTGAGGCTGATGCTAGAACTGAGGCTACGGCTGAGGCTAGAGCTGAAGCTAGGGCTGAGGCTAGGGCTAAGGCTGGGGATGAGACTTGGGTTGAAGCTAGCGTTAAGATTAGTGTTGTTTATAGCTGAGACTGGTGCTTTTTAAAGTGTAAGTTTTGTTTTTAAATTTTTTAAATTTTAAAATTTGATATTTTTTTTCAATTTTATAGAATTTTTTGAAATGAAACAAAATTTAATAAAACGACAACAGCTAACAATAAAACTAAAGGTTGAAGTCTTCAATTATGCAAGTCGTAATTCATTATCATATAATAGTAATAATAATGAAAGTGTTTTCTAAATTGTAATGAAAGGAAAATTGGCTATAAATGCTCTGATTTTTTAAATTTTTAGTCACATTTAATTTGTTGAATAATCAAAAGCAATGTTTGTTCGTTTTGGTATCTTCGTATTGTTGTGTGGTAAGTTTCATTGCTTACTGTAACGCTTTATGGCTAAGCTATGGCTGACTAGACCTAGACCTAGACCTAGACCTAGACCTAGACCTAGACCTAGACCTAGACCTAGACCTAGACCTAGACCTAGACCTAGACCTAGACCTAGACCTAGACCTAGACCTAGACCTAGACCTAGACCTAGACCTAGACCTAGACCTAGACCTAGACCTAGACCTAGACCTAGACCTAGACCTAGACCTAGACCTAGACCTAGACCTAGACCTAGACCTAGACCTAGAACTAGACCTAGACCTAGACCTAGACCTAGACCTAGACTTAGACCTAGACCTAGACCTAGACCTGGGCTTAAAAATAGTTTGAGGCTAGGGCTCTGGGTTAGGACTCTGAGCTCTGGGCTCGGGGCTCTGTGTTAGGGCTCTGGGCTAGGGCTCTAGGCTAGGGCTCTGGCCTAGAGCTTTTTTAACCCCCGAAAAATCCCTTTTTGAAATATCGCCATGAACCTGGTATTATGTCTTATCGTGGCGGGACCAAATGGCAATTCTCGCGTAAAATATTTTCAGAAATTTTTTTCATGGATAATATTTCGATGAATCTCATTAATTTTACTATAAATTGTTGTTGAAACGAATCTGGCCAAAGTTCTCAAAACGTTACCGGAAAGTACACTATAATAACATAAAAGTGTAAATTCGGATAAAATCTGAAAAACTCGAGCCAACAATAGCATTTTACAATATGGAGACAATAGTTTCAACAACAATTTATAGTAAAATTAATGAGATTCATTGAAATATTATCCATGAAAAAAATTTCTGAAAATATTTTACGCGAGAATTGCCTTTTGGTCCCGCCACGATAAGACATAATGCCAGGTTCATGGCGATTTTTCAAACGCTATCTTTACAGGTCCTTTAAGCAAAAAATTTTTTTCTTTGAAAATGACATGTTTTATAAAAAGTAATATATTTTGCTGAACCCATTTAAAATCCAGAATAACGTATTAGGCTTAAAATATCATATTTTAAATTTATAAAAGATTTGTTTTAGAAGTCATTGAACAAATGGCCCGTCAGTGCAGAAGTAAAGATGATACGAAGGTAAACTATAATAATATATTCTGTAAAATGCGCTTTTAAGTAATTTTAAAACAAGGTTGATGGTCGGTGTTTTTCCCGGACTGGTCCGGCGAATTTCGCGTCCAGTCTAAACCCAAATTTTTTGAGTTTTGGTCCGGATAACATCAACAGTGTTTTGCCAAACCGGACCTAATAATTTGCTTTTTATTGGTCTGGACCGAATCGGTCTGGCAAAACACTCTTGATGATAAAACTGAGAGTAAGACTAAGGCTCAAGCTCAGACTTAAACTTTGGCTCAGGCTCAAGCTCAGGCTCAGGCTTAGGCTTAAGCTCAGGCTCAGGCTCAGGTTCAGGCTCAGGCTCAGGCTCAGGCTCAGGCTCAGGCTCAGGCTCAGGCTCAGGCTCAGGCTCAGGTTCAGGCTCAGGCTCAGGCTCAGGTTCAGGCTCAGGCTCAGGCTCAGGCTCAGGCTCAGGCTCAGGCTCAGGCTCAGGCTCAGGCTCAGGCTCAGGCTTAGGCTCAGGCTCAGGCTTAAACTCAGACTCAAGCTTAGGCTCAAACTCAGACTCAAGCTCAGGCGTAGTCTTACGAACAGATGCAGGCATGGGCTTAAGCTTGGGACCCTCAATCCGAATCTCTAGTTCAGGTTGTTCTGACTCAGGCCAAGGCTAATCTAAAATTACTGTTTTAGCTTGGATGTGTTGTAAATGGAAAAGGTCCAGACTTTAATATAACTACCTGCATCACGGCTGGAAAAGATGGATAAAGGTTACCCAGTTTGGCTGCTACGTAGTCCATTCTTTGCTTGCTGGTCTGGGTTATCTTCTCAAATTATATATTGTCTTAATTTTTTGTTCGTTGGCTACTGCTTCAAGATTTTGTTAAAATAAACAAAGATGAGCTTTTTAGATTTCAAGCTTCTGTTAAAAGCCAGCCATTATTGTGTCTAAACACCTTTTATCGTATAACTTATATCTGCAGCCTGCAGCTGATGGGGCGCGGTTGTGGTGTTTTTTTCTTGTTTTAATTCCTTATGGTAGTCATAAATAAAATAAGCTAATTTTTAAATTTAAAAAAAAAATTCTGTCGATTTTTTTTTAATTTTAAAATAACAACATTTTAAAAATTTGGTAGAAATTTAAACTTTGAACTAGTATTCACAAGCAAAATGTAAATTTATTTATTGCAAGAGCACAAATGCGGTAAAGAAAGTGAAAAAACTCATGGAAAGCTTAATAACATCGTTGCAGAGGTCGCCGTTGCATGCGCAATATCGACCGGTAACGTTGCCAAACACTTCTTCTCTGTTGGTCTCGGAACAGCCGTCGGACAACTAAATTTTTTGGTTTTTAAAAGATTTTAAAAGGCTGAGTTTAAAGCGAGGCAGCTAGAGTAGAAGCTAGAGTTGAGGCTAAGGCTAGGGCTGAGCCTAGGGCTAAGTAGAACTGAGGTTAGGGCTGAGGCTACAGCTGAGGCTAGCTCAAAGAAGATAACTTACACCAAGGCGTTGAAGAATACTTGGGCTGTCATCCACGTCTTCTAATGTACAGCCTCTCATAATGCCTTGGCCAGCTAAAAATAGTAGTAAATTAAAAGCACATAAAAAACTTTTTTTTTCATCAAAATATTAACTAAAAGCTTTAAAAATTCAAAATCCGGCTTTAAGCAAGCGTCGAAAACTTAAAATTGAAAAACGGTACTTAATTGTATTGTAGAAATAAATAAGTTTAAAAAAATGTTTGAAAACATACCAACATCAAATTGAGTATCAACAACACCTTCAACCTTGAAGCAGCCATATTTACATTCTATGACGTTACTACTGTTGGGGTTGAAACAAGTGTCAGACATGTCTTTTCCAAAATGATGCAGAAAGTGATGATCGTCGATTTTGACGTCGTTACAAACGTAACACTTCACTGCTTCTGATAATGGCACTAAAATAGGATTGAACGTGTAATTATCAGTTTTTTAAAAATGATGTCAGAGCTGAGGCTAAGGTAAAAATAGGGCTGAAGCTAAGGCTAAGACTAGATTTGAGGCTAATGATGAGGCTAGCTAAAGCTAAAAAATAAATCGTAGCTACGGATAGAGCTGAACATGAGCAAACGGCCGGGTTGAGGCGAAATCGGCCCAAGTTTAAATTGGGCCAAGCCTGAGCAATCTTTAGTTAAAGCCTAAAAAATGAGCCTGGCTTGTTCCTCATGTCTAGCTAAAACAAAAACTGAGACACAGGATGAAGCTAGAGCTGAGACTTTAGTTGGTCACAATAGGGATATTGTAAAGTAATAGTATGACAAGAAACGCACAACAAACCTAACGTGGCTAAGGTAAGTTAGGAAGAAAGTAGGTATGAGCTGTGATAAAAATTGAATACAGTAAGGCTTTGACAGTTTAAGATAATATTACATTAGCGGTAGGATACGACTAAGTTTGAAATAAAGAGTTAAAAAGAGGCTTATTATGACTAAGTTGTACCTAAGCCAGTGCTAGTGTAAGACCGTGTGAGCAATTTTAAGGGACACCTAGGTTAAAGCTACCGGATCTTAACTATAACCTTAAGTTGGTGTGTTGATATTTGAGATAAGCTAGGGTTAATACAAAGCTACAAGAGAACTAAAGTAGAGTATAGTATTTTCAGATGGCAGTAGAGTAAAGTATAATATTTCTTAAACAAAACAAAATACCGTATCATATTCAAAACAAAAAGCTTACCAAACGTTCCAAAAGCCACCAAAAGCACAAAAATCGAATACATGTTAGGAAACAGCAAATAAAATGCACTTTTTACAAAATTTGTTCCAAATTAATGTAACGGCCAATTGATTCGCATAATTGTGGAGAATCGCTTTTTATACATTTGATTGTAATACGTGCATAATAATGAATAAAACATGAAAACTTTTGAATTTACTCTCTTATTCTCAACGAAACGTCAAGATTCGGTAGTGAATTACCTTATAGTCAATTAAATTTGTGAAAATATTGATTTGAAAAACGGAATTTTATTGTTTTTACTGTGGTATGATAGGAAACGTGATTCATTATTCACAGTTAAAATTCAATCTTTTGTGAAAATTTTTTGGTATTAACAATAGAAATGATAAAAATGTGTTTGTATTTTAGTTGTTTTCTTGAAAAAAATCAAAAAATTGCCTTGCCGCCTAATGATACCCCTCCCAATTACTCATGTCTAAGCTAAAGAAAATGAAAACAAAGATACCAAAGACATAGTAAACAACAACATATAACACTGCATTTAAACCACAATACAAAAAAAAGCTGAGTCAGTTCAAGTTTATTGTCTACAGTACCTCTAAAACACATGCAAAGTACAGTAAACGAACAGTAGAGTGAGAACAGAGAGCGACCAGTCGTTAGTTGATGCCACTGGGGCGTCGGGGTCAGTAGTCGATTCAGACTCGGTGGTTGTAGTGGTAGTGATCGAAACGGTCGTAGTGGTAGTAGTGGTCGTAGTGGTAGTAGTGGTCGTAGTGGTAGTAGTGATTGTAGTGGTCGTGGTGGTTGTGGTGGTCGTGGTCGAAGTGATCGTGGTGGTAGTAGTGATTGTAGTGGTCGTGGTGGTTATGGTGGTCGTGGTCGAAGTGAAAAGTAGCCAACTATCTAGTTGTAGCAGCCACTATCTAGTTACGGTAGCCCATTATTTAGTTACAGTAGCCAACTACCAACTAACTAGTTATAGTAGCCAACTATCTATTTATAGTGGCCAACCACCTAGTTACAGTAGTCCATTTTTTAGTTACAGTAGCCATCTATCTAGTTACAGTAGCCCATTATTTAGTTTCAGTAGCCAAAAGCCAACTAACTAGTTGTAGTGGCCAACTATCTAGTTACAGTAGCCCATTATTTAGTTACAGTAGCCAACCATCTAGTTACAGTAGTCCATTTTTTAGTTACAGTAGCCAAAAGCCAACTAACTAGTTGTAGTGGCCAGCTATCTAGTTACAGTAGCCAACCATCTAGTTACAGTAATCAACTATCTAGTTATAGTAGCCCATTTCTTAGTTACAGTAGCCAACCATCTAGTTATAGTAGCCAACTATCTAGTTACAGCAGCCGTGAACCTTATTATATTTTTTTTAGTTTTTGCTACAACAATCGCCATTCACGAATTGGACACTTCTACACCGCTCTTTGAAAGCGCTACGTTTCATAATGATAAAATTTGAATAAAGATTGCTGGGTGCTTTAAACCATTAGTGGGTGCCTTTATTATGTTGGGTGCTTTCTCTAGTATGGCCCCAAAAAAATTAATAAAATTTGTAAATAATTTTTTTTTATGATACGAATCAATAAACATACGTTTCAAATTTTTTTAAAACCTACCTCAAACCCGCCATCGTGCATGCAGTCACGTGTTACTCCTAAGACCACTAAAAAAAAGAAAATTACTAGTCATACTTTACCCCAACCCACCATACGCTACCTTACCCTACCCTATCCTATCCTGTTTAGGGTAGGATAGGGACTAGAATGAGAAGTTGGCCAACTCTGATAAAAATTTAGAATCAATAGTGAGTTTGGAAATTTTTTGAAAAGTACGCCTGGCCCATTACTCACCCCCACCCTGCTTTCAGTCAACTCTATTTCACCAATAAAACCTTACCCTTGCCCTTTATCATTGCATGGCCCCATACTGTGTAACAAGAATCGGGCGGACAATGTCCCACCTGGTAAGTATTGTTTGGTAAGACATCCGTGCAATTAATGCCCATTCCATCAGCTTCAAGACAATAGTAACATTTGACAGAGCTTGCAGTTGGGACTAAAATAATTGTATTTTTAGTAAAGCATTGGTCAAGACTTTTATAGAATTAAAACAAATTTTGATTTTTTTTAAATTTTGGTTGAAAAACTGAATTTTTACCCAAAAAATCTTAAAAAAAGTTTTTTCATAAACTTTCCGGCCAAAAACAAAAAGTTTGAAATCGTAAAAGTCAAGCCAACTTACCCAAACACAAGAGTACTAGAAGCACCATGCACGACATTCTACAGCTTCAACCTTCCATCGACCAAAACTTGCACAATCGACCGACCGACAAATCAGTTTTCGACTCTAATCACCAAATCAAAAACCAAAACAGTGTCATTTCAACAGTGACCGCACTTTCAAAAAACTACTACTAGATGTCCTTGCAAAACGTTGGCATTCTGTGTCATCATAAAATAAAAAAGCGACCATTTTTATGTTTTCTATAAACTTTTTGACTAATACATCGTTTGAGTCGCGGTCAAAAAGTTCATAGAAAGAATATCTCTCAAATTTTTACAAAAAAACAACTTACTGCTATTGTAAAATGGTTTAAAAAAGTCTTGTCGCCAAGTTCCATCTATTTGCACGTTCAAAAACGACATGACTTTATTCGTAATCAAATATTAAATAATATGCTTTCAGTGACTATTGTACGCTGTGGTGTTGATGCGGTTGAATGCTACGATGGTTTAACGTACGAGGATCGTGATTGCGATGTTACCTATAATGATACAACTTTAGCTAGTACATGTGACGGCGATTCTTGTTACGTCGTGTGGGGCACTGTAACTACTCACGAAGGCGACGTTAGTAAGATCTTTACTTGCTAGCTGGTAGGTTAAGAGTAGGGTAAAGTAGGGTTAGACAGGGTAGGGTAAACTAGGAAAATAATTTTTATATTTTTTCAGGTCCGAATGAAATATACCGCTCCTGCGGCTCTATTGCTACGGTATGTTCCATAGTTTTTGAGTCTAGTGTTATATTTCGGTCATAATTTTAAGGTTTGTGACCTTTCAGGGAAGTCCGTGCGTTGACGTTAAGGATGTCACAATAGTTGATTTTCCTTTCAACCTAAGATTTAGTGGGCTTTACTGCGAATGTAAAGGCGATTTGTGCAACAGTGAAACAATACCACCGACTAAGACTACCACAACCACCACCACCACCACCACTACCACGACCACTACTACGACTACTACCACTACCACGACTACCACCACTACCACGACCACTACTACCACTTCCACGTTTGAATCGACTACTGACCCCGACGCTCCAGTGGCATCAACTAACGACTGGTCGCTCTCTTGCCTTACTTTACTGACCGTTTACTGCACTTTGCATGCGTTGTAGAGGTACTGTAGACAATAAACTTGAACTGACTTGGATTTTTTGTATCATGGTGTATATGCAGTGTTGTATTGTTGATTTTTCTAGTTTTACCTTGATGTTTTACCTTGGCACAGCACCTTAAATTATATTTTTCTCTGCCCCAATCTCAGTTTTAATCTTCAACCTGTCCTTCTTAGCCTTAACTTAACAAGGGATTACTTTGCCCAAAAAAACACTTTTATGGGGGCACAGAATTATTTAAACAACCACAAATATTACACTAAACCAACTGCAATTCCTTTTTTACATTTATTGTCGAACAAAATTATGGAATAATAGAATAATAAGAAACAATAGATAAATGAGGGGGGTAAAATTAGGAAGGGACGGGGGTGGAGACAGAGAGATAACATTATATTTCAAATAGTTCGCTTTCGTATAACGACCTTTCAAAATTTCGAAAAATTTTTAAAAACGAAATTTAAAAAATCCGGCAAAAACTTTCTTTCCACTATTCAAAAAATTATTTTTTCTTTACAAAACTCGACGAACCTTACAAAATCTTGATATTGTAGGTCATCAAATGGCTAAAACAATATATTAAGTTGTTCAAATAATTCTGTGCCCCCTCTGAAAGCGATTTGGCGGCGTTAGAGACACAGAATTATTTAAACAACCAAATCAAATGAAAAAATACATTTTCAATGTTACAATATCATAAATGTCTATTTGTAGGTATACAAATAAGGATTTTTAATGCTGTATCAAATAAAAATGTCATTTCTTTTTGTCTTTATATGTCGTTATACGAAGCAACTACTAGACCTGCTCGATTCTATAGTAAATTGCATCGGCGTTTCTTTTCTGGCGGCGGGGGTTCCAGTGCGGCCAAGATGGCCTCGTCGAACACGTTTTTGAGGCCTTTCTGCAAATATTCGAATTGAGTAAATGTAAAGAATGGCAATTTAGACACAAACAGACATTTTACTGATATTTTAAACCTATACTGAAATTTAAAAGCCTAAAATGGTATTTTTAAGCCAAAATGACATTGTCAGGCTTATAATGACATTTCGTGCCTTAAATTACATTTTTAAGCCCAAAACTATATATGTGAAGCCTAAAATGACACTTTTAAGCATAAAATGACACTTTCAAGCCTAAAATGACACTTTTAAGCATAAAATCACATTTCTAAGCCTAAAGTATCCTGTTTAAACCTAAAATTACATTTTAAGTTTTTAAGCCCAAAAGGAGAACTTTTAAGCCTAAAACGACATAGATAAACCTAAAGTGACATTTCAAGCCTAAAAAAAGATTTTAAAGCTTAAATTGACATTTTAAGCCTAGACGAAATTTTTAAGCTTAAACTGACATTTTTAAACAAAAAAGAACATTTTTAGGCATAACGTAACATTTTTAAGCCTAAACGACATATTTAAGCTTAAACCAAAAATTTTGATTCTAAAATGACAATTTTCGGCCTAAAATCTCACTTGCAGCCCTAACAGAGATTCTTCAATTCAAAAATGGCATTTTACGCCTAAAAACAAGCATAAACCAAACTTAACATACCTGTGTTAACGCTGAACATTCCACATACTTCACGGCTTTCAACTCTTTTGCCAGCTTTTCTCCCATTTCCGTCGTAATTGGCCGTTGTTTGTTCTTGGCCAACTTCTCCATGATGGGGCCATCGTCTCGTAGATCCACTTGCGTCCCCACTAATAAGAAGGGCGTTTTCGCACAATGATGTGCAATTTCTGGTACCCACTGAAATGTCAATATTAGGTAACAAGTTTGTTAAAAATATTAAATTTTCATCAGTTTCAGACATTTGGCAACGTAAAACAGCTAAAATAATTTCCAAAAGCATAAAATATTTTGAAAAAAACGTTATTTTGAGCCAAAAATCCATATTATCCTTGATGCTTTTACTTCTAAAACTACAAAAACACTAATCACCTACCTAAATTTATAAAAACTGGTTATAACAACGTCTAGCAAAACTTTCAACGTCAATTTCCAATTCTTAATATTAAAAACGGCATTAAAAATCGAATTTTCCTTCACCCTCTCATCACATCCCACTATCTTTTATATTTTATTCCCAAACTTCGCTAAAACCAACAAATCAACCCCGTTTTTACTAAAAACGGCTTCAAAACTTTCTTCTGTATCTTTTCAAACCAATTTTGGTCCAGTAACTCATCGTAACGTTGAAGAATCACCTAAAAACCAAGAAAAACATCAAAATTTTACCTTTTCTTTGACGTTTTCGAAAGAAGCTGGTGCTACCACCGAGAAACACACTAGGAAAACGTCTGTTTGTGGATATGATAAAGGTCGTAGTCTGTCGTAATCTTCCTGACCAGCTGTATCGAATAACCCAAGGGTGTATGGCTCTCCACCGATCATCACTGTTACCTAAAACAAGGTTTTGGTTAATTTTGGGCAGTTTTAAACCTAATACTTCCAGATTTCATACCTACTTCTTCATATTTTCAAATTCTTTACCTAAAAATCCAAAAAAACTCCGAGAAAAACCCAACTTACCGCGTAGTTATCGAAGACTGTAGGCACGTATTCGCTGGGGAACTTGTTGGTGGTGTATGAGATGAGAAGGCACGTCTTACCGACCGCTCCATCGCCCACCACAACACACTTCAACGTCTGCATGGGTCGGGTCCGCGAGCGTTGGGCGCTTAAATATTTCTTTAGTGTTTGATCCACCGATTTCATAGCCGAATAATCGAGAGTCGGCGAATCGTGGCGCGGCGCACGCGGAGGACGTTGAAAGGAAGACATCTGGAGCAAGAAACAGACTTCGGAAGACAGACTGTTGACCTGGAAGACTTGATTGTAGACCAATGTTAAGATCAATGTTTGTTTATTAGTGTTGATAGTGAAAGTTTATATATCAGGTAAAACATTTTTTAAAAATATGTAAAGGTCAAAGTCAGACTAAGTAAGTTTAAAAAAATATATTTCTACAAACGTTCTGGCCAAAAAATGTTTTTTATTTAAGAAGTATATCAATAAAGCAACTTATTTAAAAAGTTCAATATATTCACCATTCCCTCCGCAAAAATCATAATTTTTCAAAAAATCTCCTTTAACCAAGCCAAAATGACAACTGTACTCAATAGCACATCATACTGCACCAAACCCCAATAAAATCTCAATCATCACGTACAAATAACGAATCGAAACACTATCCAGTTGACAATCCTCTCACACCTTTCATCATAGCCTTATATAAAACGAAAAAAATTCGGAAAAAACGCAGGAACGATGAGTCACGTTGATACCGAGAGATAAATTCGAAAAAATAGTCGCGAGCTAAATGATAAACTTTTGGTCAAAAACACTTGAAACACGAAATGAATCGGTTTTCCTATCACTCAAAACTTGCAAAAAATGGACTCGGGTTTCGGACGTACGACTTTGACGGATTGTATGACAAGCATAACATTCATGCTTGAGCTGAAGATGTTTGAGATACAGGAGAGTTAATTATGATTAAGAGTTAATGGTAATTATAAAAAGGCATGAAAATGCTAATTATAAAGAGCTATAGAAAGAGGTTGAGAAGCGTGGATAAACTACCCAAAGCCAATCCAAAAAACCCACAAAAGGTAATGATGAATAACGACCAAGAATATGTCCTACAACAACTTATAAAGACAAAAAATAAAAGTAAAGTTATATGATAAAGAAAGAAAACTAAAGATCGCAAAGAAAAAACATGATAACCTAACAAAAATCCATTCTTCTACAAACAACACTTCACGAAACCTTCAGTATTATCCAAAACAAGCTCATACCTTCACAGTAGCATCAAGTTAAGTAGCATCAAGTCAACCCAACTCTAATTGATTCCAGCTCCATTAAAATGCGGAAATCCAACTTGACTAATCCAGCTAGACCAAAAAAAAACAAACTTCAAAGTTCCCCACTACCACCAACTTCAAAATCCCTTACTGTTACAAAGTTCAGCCCACCACTACAAACATCTGAGCCCCCAACCAACGACAGCCCGGCCCAAATCTGGCAAAAAACCAAGCGGCCAAAAAAAAACTCCGGGTGCTCGGATCAATCGCGACACCGCTGGACCTTTGCAAAAGAATAGACGAAAGAAGAACGGGCTCGAAAAAGCGATGGAAAGGCTTTTGTTGGCTGTTTATGGCGTCTCCACCCAGGTCAGCGCTCTCTCTCCACCATACCACAAAACCGATCGCTGCTCATTTCCTTTGGGTCAGGGGGGGGGGGTTTGCTCTTTCGCCCCACACTTTTCTTGGGTTAGGGCTTTGTGCTGAGGAGGAGGAAACGGCGAGGGTTTCAAGGTCAGTGTTACGGCTCCGCTAGCCGAGTGAAATCACGTATGTCACATTTGCATATATCTAGGGACTTAGCTAGGGGAGGGGAGGTAAGTCCAAAAAAATTTTAGGCTTCCTCTCTTTAGGAACAATCTGCAGCAAAAGTCCCTACATATATCCTATGTGGTGTTTAAATTTTATTGCACTTGCTTTGTCTCAAGTAAGATATTCATATCCCTATGTCTTATAAAGTTAAAACTTTGAGTTTGTTTTGGCTCATCTAGTTCTATCTTTCCCTTTGAGACCTCTACAAGTGTTTTGATGAGCCATACATACTCTCAGTGATCGAAAAGGGTTTACTATGGCTCTGTATTTGACATTTTACTCTCCCTAATGATCTTTTATAAGCTTTATGTGGCTTTTTAGAGAATTAATAACACGAAAATGTGCTATCAAAGAAAACATAACGCTAACACCATCCTGTCTGCCATAATGTGTTTTAACGTACACTAATTTCTAGCTACAAGCTGTTCAATGACTATACCGGAACTGATAACACTTAATAGATTGATAACTTCATTGTTAATTCACTTTTACATCGCCAGACAATACAAACGCACAATTCACTTCAATATGACAAGCAGACACAATCTTTAACCCTCTTATATTCACTTTTTAACCAAGCTAGCTAGTAATTACACTATCTTAAGCCAATAAGAGTCCAACGGGTCAGAACAACCATGCCATTTTAAAATGAACTCCTAAAACTACAAACACAAAGAAAACAAACAAACGTTACTCCCATCTTATCACACCATTCATTACACAGAACATTCGACAATATTATCCTTGATATCGCTCCGATATTATCCATGATACATCTCGATCACTGAAAACGCGTAAAATCGCTCGAAAACATCTGAATCCAAATACAATAACTAATTTTTTGTTTAGTTTAGCTGTTAAACATAATTTTAAACGAAAAGGGATAACTTATTTTACCAAACCTTTGAAAATACCCACAAAACATTCGAACAAACCTTATTTTAGTCTCCCCAACATGAAAAGTATGTAAATTATAGCGCAAAAGTTGAATAAAACTCGTCAAAAATGCTATAAACCCTGAAATGTGCCCAAAGTGGACAGAAACATCCATCCAAGAAACTGAAATGTGCCCAAAGTGGACAGAAACATCCATCCAAGAAATTGAGAAGGACGAACGCCCAGTAAAAAACCAGAAAACCCTCCGTTTCCAGAAAACCCGTCATCAAAGTCGAGTCGGCGCGATGCATTTTATAAATTATTTTCGCGCCGACATTTTCTGTCGTTCGGAAGGGGATTCTGGGGGTTTTTGATGGATTTTCTTGAAAAGTAGAAGCTATTTTAAGTACTACATGATAATAAAAGTATTTTTTTACATCTTTGCTTTAAAATTTTATGAAAAACGACCTTGTTTTAGGCGTTATAAGTGTTTAAAGCTAGAAATTTGATTCTACTTTTTGTTGTTTGATTTAAAAACAATTTAAAAACGATATAAACTAACTTATACGGCTTCTAATAACGTTTAACTGTTTGAAACAACGTGAAAACTCAAATAAAATGCATTATATTAAGGTATACTAAAGTAATTTCTAAATTCAGCGCCCTCGCCTGATCAAACTTCGAATTTCATGAATGAGGACAAGATGTTGATACCTCGTAAGACTCAACTCTTAAAGGCCGTTGATGTAAGTTTTTTTGTTTATTTTGTATGTTATTCAATTTAGGGCCGACAAAAGTCGTCAATCTTGGAGAAGGATGGACGGGTATTGGAACGGGTTTACTGGTCTGGAAACAAAGCTGTTGTGTATAGAGGTGTTACCAACATCTTGTTGAGGACACATTTTGCCGTTGGACAGATTAACAGCGTAAGAAGTTTTATATTTGATTATTTGTGATCTCTTTTGCATGTTATAGTAGATGAAACGTGTGGAATGACGTATAATGCTTTATAACTTTTGTTTTATGAACTTTTAGGCTTTAAGGTTGCTATCTTTAGCAAGAATATTGTTTTGTGATTTTAATAATATTAATTTTTAGGCATTTTATCATGACTTTGGCTTAGAACGATCTAATGATCACCTTGTTATCTGTTCAGAAGAAGAATTAAAGTTGATCTCTTTGGAGAGCAACGAATGTCACGCTTTATCACTGCCAATGAAAGTATGTTTATTTTACGTTATTTTTATTTCTTCTGCTTTTAGTTTGAAGCTTGTTTTGGATGTGAACATGGACTAATTTTGGTGAGGAGTCGAGCTGATGAGGAGTAAGTAGTCAAGGTTAATATTCTTGATGTAACTTATTATAAAACAATCTATTTTATGAAAATTTGGCTTTAAAAAGATGCAGAATAGTCTGCTGTTTAAGATTTATTACCTAAAAATTTTTTTTTTTCAGAAACCGCGGCCCAGCCACACTATATTCTTTGTCACATCCATATGGGGAACTGCTTCCAGTGTTATGTAGATTTAAAGACAGCAATATGATAGCTCAGTTATCACAAAAACGTCTTGACTTGGTGTCGGACTTCGGGAAATCAAAGTATATTCTTGGATTTGATAACCAAAAGGGGTTGAACTGTTTGTTCTTGGTCAGACGATGTAATGATGAAGAGAAGAGGATAGCTAGGACAGATTTGAGTGTAGCCGCCAACCGGTCGTATTTACATTACTCTGGAGTTTCTGAACTGCGTAAGGATGTTTTTCTGATGTTATCAGATTTGGATGTTGTTTAAAATGGCTGTTTTACAAAAGTTATGACGTGGTTTGGCGAGTAATGTTCAAAAGGCCAGATTTTTTAATAAAAAAATCATTTTCAAGCATTTTTTACAACTTAAAGGACAAAGCAACTAATTTCAGACTCAACAAACCACACTCCAACACAATCTCGACCAATATCAGTGAATGCATCAACCCCATTGGGCACTAATCTTATGAGGAAGTTCAAAACTCCAGGCACTTCTGGGTCCCCAGTGCCTTTTTTGTCAAAAACGATGGACAAAAAGTATTCGGAAAATGGTGCTACAATGAAATTGTTGACTAGTTTTAGTAAGTTTTGGGTAAAAGAAGGCCTTGTTTGGGTTTATATTGAGAACGAAGATAGATTTTGGAATTTTGAGGGTGTTTATGGCATGGATAATATAATTTTAGTTGTTTTTAAGGGATTTTTTTGCTGTTTTTAAGTGATGTATGAAAGTCTAGATATTTTCTTGGCTTTTTTTTCTTTGTTTTTTAAGAGCATTGTTACCTAAAAATATTTTTTTTGAAAATTTAAAAATTTTAATTTTTAGGTAACATAATATGTAAATTGATATTACACTAAGCAATATAAACCTTTAGATAACAAAAATTATCATTTTAAGGTAATCACAATTCTTATCAACAGCCATTGGACTACACATCAGCGACAACAGTCTTAAGTGCCATAACAGGTCAACCAGAAGCTGAATTCGATGAAAATGCAGTGGAATTTGTTTTAGAATGCGTATGGACAGATGAAAATCAAAAAAGTACTCAAGCACCTCGAAGTCCCTCAAGGTTGCCAGTTATGCAATCACCACAGGTCTCCGGACCGGTTCACAAAAGAGCGACCAAAGGACGGTCGAAAGTGGATCGTGATCTGATCGAACAGTTGAATAAGGTGAGCTTTTGGAATTTTTAAATGGAAGATGATGTTTTTTGTTTGGGGCTTATGACATTTTTAAGCTTGAAATGGCATTTTTAGGCTTAAAACGACATTTTTAAGACTATAATGACATTTCTAAGCTTATAAGGGTCTTTTATGAAAAATATGACATTTTCAGACTTAATATGACATTGAAAGCTTACCAAGACATTGATCAGCCTAAAATATCATTTTAAGCCTATGATCAAATTTTTAAGCTTAATATAACATTTATAAGCCTAATATGACATTCTAAGCTTTAAAAGTCATTTTTAAACCCCAAACGATGAGTTTAAGTATAAGATGACATTTTTAAGCTTAAAGGGCCATTTTTAAGCCTAAAGTAACTTTTTATGTTATAATTGACATTGCTAAGCCTAAAGTGGCATCCTTAATCCTAATAAGAATTTTTAAAGTTTTTAATAACGCTTTTAAGCCTAGAATGATACATTTAAGCATAATACAACATTTTAAGCCGATTTTTACATATTTAAGCCTAACTTGACAGTTTTGGGCTTTGTATTAAGTTTTTGATCTAAAATGACATTTTTATGCTTATTATGACATTTTCAAGCCTACTATAGATTTTTTTTCAAAAAATTACGTTTTTTGTTGTAGTAACTCAAATATGACATTTTTCAATTTCAGGACTTTTACCAAAACAAACGAGCCTCATCAGCCTTTCTGTCGACCGATCTCAGCGGCCGAACCTACCTAATTCTAGTCTGCTCAACCCAAAACCTTGTCAAAATTGTAGAAATCGACCAAGAAACTGGCGCGTCGACCGGTAAAATGGAGATTTGTCACGGGTGTGTAGCCATGAATCTACCAGGCCAGTCTTTTTGGATTCTGGCTACAGTAACACCAATTGCATTGGCTTTGTATTCTGGATACGATAAGGTGATAGACATTGCCAGTGCTTTCTTCGCCAACAAACATCATTTACAGTTGAGTCGAATCGTTCAACTGATTGCTAGGGGTGGATTCGACTTTGAAACGGTAGGGTTTTTTGTTTGAGGCGAGGTATGAGCTGGGGCGAGGATATATTATAATACATTTTTAAAGGTAGACAGGGGGCTTAAATTAAATTTTCAAGGTTAAAATGACATATATAAGAATAAAATGACATTTTTCAGCTTAAAGGTACATTTTAAGCTTGAAATTATTTTTTTTAAGCATAAGAAGACATTTTAAGCCTAAAGGCACATTTTTAAGCCTAAAGTTACATTTTAAGCCTAACGGTACATTTTTAAGCCTAAAGGTACATTTTAAGCTTAAAAGCACATTTTATAAGCATAAGAAGACATTTTAAGCCTAAAGCTACATTTTTAAGCCTAAAAGACATTCTTAAGCCTAAACGTACATTTTTAAGCCTACAGCTACATTTTTAAGCCTAAAGTACATTCTTAAGCCTAAACGTACATTTTTAAGCCTACAGCTACATTTTTAAGCCTAAAGTACATTCTTAAGCCTAAAGCTACATTTTTAAGCCTAAAGGTACATTTTATACCTAAAATGACAACTTTAAGACTAAAAATACATTTTTAAGCCTAATGTGACATTTCTAAACTTAAAATAATGTTTTTATACTCAAAGTGACATTTTAAATTAAAAGCAGCATTTAAAAAATTCATTTTCAGATAGTGGAAATGGTCCCAACAGCCATCGACTCACCCGCCGAACCAATAGAAAAGAAGCCGAGAAGCGGGTTCACATCGCCCAGAAAGCGATGTTACACTACAGAACCTAACTTTACATTTGCCAAAGCTTTACCAAGCCCATCGTGGTCACAGCCAAGTACATCTGAAATTGGCAGAAATGGTAAAAACTGGCATTTTTTGAACTTAAAATTTGAAAAAAATGAGAAAAATGGAATTTTTTGAAAATTTTTCCCTTAAAAACTGGTGTTGGGCTGTTTTTTGTTGAAATATGTAAATTTTTGACATTCTTTAGATCTGTTTTTATCACAATATTTATTTCAGCCTACCCCCAATTAACCTCAGACTCAGTATTCTTCATTTTCCACCTGAAACTCGAGCTAGAACCTATAACAACATTGGGAAAACAGCTATTCAATGACATTTTGAACGGAATCGAAACTCAAGAACGGAAGATGACATTTGTTAAACGATGGGCCATGAAAAACAATCATCGGATAGTGAGAAGCAATCCGGATGTGATCGCTGAAATGGAGCTGGGCCTGCTCTTCGAGTGCCTCTTCGAAACGATTGGGATCAGTGTGGAGGAGATGCCTTTTATGTTTATGGTGGGTATTTATGGTGGTGGTAGGGGTTGTTAACAAGGATGTCACTATTGGTTTTTTTGGGGGAGGGGGGGGGGAATTTTGATGATAAAAAATAACTTTTTAGTCTGGGTTTGAAATTTTTTAAAATTTTTAATTGAATTCTTAAGCCTAGATTTGCTAATCTGAAACTACCTGAAGCTAAGGGTAAGCCTAGGGTTAAGGGTCAGCGTAAGCTATAGCTTAAGTTTTAGTGCTAGCTGAAGTCTTAGCTTAAGCACTGGTCTCAACTCTAGGTTTCGTCATAATTCTAACCCGTTCTAGTCTTAGTCTTATCATATATCTATTCTAGCCCTAGCTTATGTCATAGCTCTAGTACCAGCCTTAGTTTACTTAATTCTAAGTTTAGTTGGTAAAAGTTTTAAAAGTGTCATTTTACATTCAAAAAAGTTACATTTTTTGATTTTTTAGGTGAATCGACGACGAGAATGGCTACAACAAGGTCGGAATACACCGTATTTTGATGAAAAACGAACCAAAATTGAACAAGGAGACGAGGACAAGGAACAGGTATGGCATTTAAATTTTTATGGTTTATGACGTCTTCAAGCCTAAACTTATTTTTTATGCTAAGTAGGGCATATTTAAGCTTAAATGGACATTTTTAAGCTTAATATGACATTTATAAGCCTGAACTGATAAAGTGGCGTTTCTAGCTTGATAAGACATTTTTAGGTATGAATTTACATATTTAAGCCTAAAATGCCACTTGTAAGCCTAAAGTTACTTTTTATGCCTAGAACGACATTTATAAGTCTTGTCTGATAAAGTGACATTTTTAAACGAAAAATGGCATTTTTAAGCCTGAGGCGACATTTTTAAGACCAAGCTGACATGTTTAACCTCAAAATGACATTTTTAAGCCTACAAGAAGAATGAAATATTTTTCTCAATTTTTCAAAACTTTTGATTTTAGTGTCTATACCGCCTACTAGAACACGATAAAGAACGTCAGGAGACGTTCAATGACGCCACTGAAGTCATAATCGAACAAACGTCAGAAGAGGAAATTCACCCCGATGATATGGCCAGAATCTTCAAGAACATTATCCAATACATGACATCCAACACCAATGACATTAAATTTAAAATGTCGCAAAGATTCATATGCGAACCAATGAGAATCCTCGCCGAACTTCTGCAACTACATCAATATATCAGTGTCATTGAGGACATGTGCCCGAAACTGGCTGAAATTCAATTTACAACGACGGTTCAGTTTAGAAGCGGCATTGAAATGCCGAGAATGGATCCAGTCACTAAGTTATCGGAACATTTGGAAACGACACTTATGATTCCGGAGCCGGCTCATGAAAATTTGAGCGTGATCACGCCGGCTCAGAAAACTAAATTGAGGTACGACATTTCTAGGTTGATTATGACATTTCAATGAAATGTGCAACTTTTTTAACTTAAAATTACAGTTTTAAGCTTAATATGCTATCGGTAAGCTTAAAGTGACATTTTAAGCTTAAAATTGTTTATTTTCTCTTAAAATGGCATTATAAGATTAACATGATATCGTTAAGCCTAAAGTGACATTTTTAAGCCTAATATGACATTTGTAAGCTTAAATCGATTTTTCCAAGCCTAATATGACATTTGAAGTGTAATATGACATTTTAAGGACATTTTTTAAGTGACTAGTGACTGCTAAGCCTAATATGACATATTTAAGCATAAAATGAAATTTGTATGCCTAAAATGACACTTCTGAACCTAATTTGACATTTTAAAGCCTAAGTTAATATTTAATGCCTAACTTGACTTTTGTAAGCCTAAAATTACATTTTTTACTTAAATTGAAATTTTAAACTGTAAATGTTATTTCTAAGCCTAAAGTGAAATTTTTAAGCCTAGAGCTTAAAATTAAATGTTTATGAAAATCAATTTTTAATATTCAATTTTTAGGCTACTACCCTCAAGCGACGAAATTGCCAAATGGGAGCGTATGCGATGGCCAACTGATATTCGTGTCAGCAATGTATCAACAATGCTGGATTCCTCTAAACCTGTTCTTATTCCGGTAGGCTTAAACTTTGTTTGAGAATGCTGATTTTACAAAAAATGGGTGTTTTGATTTTTAGGTAACAAACAATGAATTTTTGTGTTTGAGGTAACAGAACGTACAAAACCAATTTTTAAATAAAAAATGAATTTAAGGACCTCCGCCAAGGCGCCAACGTTCAAGAATCTCATCTGCGTGAAAGCCAGGAGAAGTTTCTTCAAAACGCCGCCTATCGTACCATAGCACGTTCATTCGGCGCCGCTCTACTTCACTTCCAATCACGCCAATCCGAGCCAATGGAAGCCACATACATTGAACGTGTCAACCTCCATGGCAAACTCGCCCCATCCAACATGAAGTTGGAGTACCCAACACCCGAACAACCTCAGAACAAGTCGGCCCAAAAACAAATGTTGGAATGGGCTAACTTTTATAATGGCGTGGCTAGGGGCTTGTCAACGATTTTGGGGGCGGATGCGGAAAGGAATCTGAATGATAACGAAGAATTGATGGATCATCACTTTCATTTGTACGGCAGAGGCAAGGAGAACATGTTGGATGCTGATGCGGAGGTGAGAAAAAATGTATGCTTAAGAATGGGATTTTAGGCTTAAGAATGGCATTTTAGGCATAAAAGGCGTTTTAGGCTTAAAAATTTTATTTTAGTTTTAGAATTGACATTTTGGACTTAAAAATATCGTTTTAGGGTTACAAGTGCCTATTTAGGCTTAGAAATGTCACTCTGGGCTTATAAAGTAAATTGGCTTAAGAATTTCATCGTAGGCTTATAAATAACACGTTAGGCTAAAGAATGGCATTATAGGCTTAGAAATGTGATTTTAGGCTTAGAAATGTCACTTTAGACTTAAAAGTGCAAGTTTAGGTAGAAATGTCACTTTAGACTTAAAAATGTCATTTTAGGCTTAGAAATGTCAATTTAGGGATTCTGAAGGTCACTTCAGGTTCACAACTTTCAATTTAGGCCTTAAATATTGCTTTAGGCTTAGAAATGTGATTTTAGGCTTATAAGTATCAATCCAGGCTTAAAAAGGTCACTTGAGGCTTAAAAATAACATTTTATGCTTAAAGTTGTTCATCCTGCACATAAATCAAACTCATAACATATTTTAGGCCTTTGAGCGAGTCCAAGACGAGCTACAGGAAATCGAACGTCGCGACCACATCCAGCACTCCAATCGAACTCAAGACGAAGGTCCGCGAGTCGTGGATTGGGAATGGGTGTTCCACAAAATCCGAGAAGACAAGGAGTGCAGTCCAGTGCTGGCAGGCTTCTTATTGGCAGCCGGTTTGTCGGGTCAGTCCATGAGTGTGAATCCGTACGATCTACACGAGTTTCTGTCACTTTATGACAAAATGGTGGTGGTGGCATTGCTACTAGGGACTTCTGTAGCTTATCGAGGAACTGCTAATGTATATGTAAGTAGGGGGGGGTGGGGATATAGTAAGTGGTAGGGGAGGGAGGGGGGATTTACAGTGTGAGGAGGGGTAGGAACGACGATGTTGGTCTAGGTGGGGAAAGGGTGTGGGTGGAGTGGTCAACCTTCTTTCTACTGGTAGCTAGCTACCCCTATCTTTACCCCTACCCCATTCCGTAATGACATTGCTATTTTAGATGAACAAAATCCTGTACGCCCATCTGCCCTTCCTCCTACAACCTACAGTATGCGATTTTCGAATCGAGCCATCGATTCAAACCGTATCACTACTATCACTCGGATACCTGTTCGCCGAGTCAATGCATATGCACCTCACCAACGACCTTATCAATCAAATGTCCAAAGAAACCTTCTTCGAAACTGACCCAGGATCAGAACGCTATTCATATGTTCTAGCCGCAGGCTTAGCCGTAGGCCTAATCAACCTATGCAAAGGTGATCAGCTAACAAAGCTGGAACTGCCAGTTCATGTGAACCATCTGAGGATAAGGGAGAGACTGTTCTTGCTACTGAATGGTGGACTAAGAGACCTGGTGATAGTATCGTATCAGAAGGATCCATGTAGTCTGGCACAGTCAGGTTGTTGTTCATGTGGAATGAGTCGAGCGGATCAACGATATCAACCTCAACTACATCAACATCATCATAGGCAGAGGTCGGATCGGGTGGGCGATGGTAAGTTGAGCATGATTTTTTTATTTTTGAGGAAGTTTAAGAGTTTTTGGAATAATCATATGTTCTTAGGCTTAGAATTATTATTTAGAGTCAAAATTCGATATTAAGCATTAAATCTCATTTTAGTCCTAAAAACATTACTTTAGGCTTAAAAATAGCATGACAAGCTTAAAAATTTCATTGTAGGCTTAAAAAATTATTATAGGCTTGTAAATGTTATTTTAGGCTTAGAAAGCCCAATTTGGGCTTTAAAATGTATTTTTTGGCTTGAGATTTCATTTTAGGATTAGAAATGTCACTTTATGCTTAAAAACGTCAGAATGAGTTTAAAAATGTAATATTATGATACAAATGTCGTTACATCTATTTTTAAATATTTTAGAAGCCGCTGGCTCAACCGGAGGCACAGGCGGCTCAGCCTCAGTATCGGCCGCATCATCACACGTGGCCGAGCTCAAGAACGTCAATGTCCACCTAAGTTCACCAGCAGCATGTGCAGCAATAGCGCTCGTATACCTACGAACCAACAACAAAAGCATCGCTGATAAGCTGGAGATCCCAGAAGAACTACAACAACTCGGCCTGATCCGACCGGACCTCATTCTGATGCGAACACTGGCCAAATGCTTGGTCATGTACGACTCCATAGGCCAGACCACTCAATGGATCAACAATCAGATCCCACCGACCCTGAAAGAATATTTTAAATTGACTCAGAAGCCTCACAAGTGCAGTGAAGATCTGGGAATGCTGGCCAGAGCCTACCTCTACGCCAAGGCTGGAGCCTGCTTTGCCATGGCCTTGAAATATCCAAGCACTTGGAATGAAAAGGTCACTAGTGCTTTGGTAAGTGGTGTGATTACTTGCTTATGTTTGGGATGGGAAGGGGGGAGGGGGGTATTTGTAATTTAGAAAAAAGGAGGGGGGGAGGTAGAGGAGTGACTTACAGTGTTTGTTTCGTTTGCCTTGGGCACGGTAAAAATATGTTTTATAGGGATTGGGTAGGGCTAAAAATGGCATTTTAGACTTAAAAATATGTTTTACGTTAAGAAATGTCATTTTAGGCTTAAAATGCCATCATCGGCTTTAAATGTTATTTTAGGCTTAGAAAGATCATTTTAGGATTAAAAGTGCCAGTTAGGCTTAAAAATATGTATTAGTTTAAGAAATGTCACTTGACATTTAAAAGTGTCATTTTAGGCTTAAAATGCCATGTTCGACTTAAAATGTTATTTTAGGCTTAAAAAGATCATTTTAGGCTTAAAAGTACCATTAAGGCTTAGAAATCTTATTGTAGGCTTAAAGTGCCATTTTAGGTTTAAAAGTGACGTTTTAATACTAAAATGACGTTTTCATTTTAAAATTACATTTTTTAATTTTTTTTCAGAAAGAAGCCTTTGATCAGCTATTGAATGAATCCAGCTACGCACACGCTTTCATGTTATCGAAAGCGGGCGTGAACGCCAAGGAAACGTGCAAAAACGTTCTCATGAGTTCATTGGCTATTGTGAGTTTTGACATTTTGAAATTTTGTTACCTAAAATATATTTTTTGTTACCTGAAAACCAAGAAAAGGCCATAATTTGGCCTAAAATTCAAGTTTTTATTACCTAAAGTAATATTTTTGCGATTTTATTACCTAAAAACTTTTTTTTATTACCTAAAGGTCAAAAAAGGGTTATAATGTGGCCTAAAAGTTAATATTCTTCTATCATTTATACTTCAAAACTAATTTTTTCATATATTTGTTACCTAAAGCAGCAAAAAACCCTTAAAAACCTTGATTTTCAGGTGAACGCAGGCAGTGGCGACGTCTCCCTGATCCGCGCCTTCCGCAAATGCCGCAACCAACACACTCAGTTCATCAACCAACCCAAAGAATCCCACCTATACTCGACCCAAGTCATCTCCAACATGTGCATCGGCATGCTGTTCCTGGGGCACGGCCGCTACGGTCTCAGCATGTCCAACATGTCCATCGCCTCACTGTTCATCGCCTTCCTCCCAGTCTACGGCCACGCCATCTACGACAACCGCTGCTACTTCCAGGCCTTCCGCTTCCTCTGGACCCTGGCCATCGAACCCCGCTTCCTGATCACGGTGGCGGACGGCAGCCTTCAAGCCATCGAAGCCAAACTCGAAATCAGCTTCAAGGATGAGAATACGGAAGCCCTGAAGGTGAAGACACCGTACCTTTTACCGCCTCTAGAGACGATAGCCGGCATTACGGTAGCAGCACCAGGCTTTGAGCCGGTTGTGTTGGATCTTCAGAAGCCGGAACACTACAGAACGTTGAGGGAAGTGCTGCAGAAAATGAGTGGACGACTACCGTTGAGGAAGACTACAAAGTAAGTTGGGGTGGTAAAGTGTATTTTTGAGGAGGCGGTGGTTTTTTCGAGGCGGGGGTGTTTTTTTTTTTTGAGATGAGGGTGTTTTCGGATATTGGGCTAGGGCAGAGCAATTCATTTTTAAGGACAGGGCAATTTATTGGGGTGGGGCGGGAGGGGTGAAAAAAAGTACAAAAAATTTTTTTTGAAAAAAACTTTTTACTAAGCTGTAACTGCTTACACTGCCCTTTTTGAAGAGGGCGGGGTAAATTTTTTCTCGGGGGTGGTAAAAATTTTTTTTTGAAAAAATGAATTTTTAGGTGCTATTTATACTCAAAAAATAAAATTTTTCGTATCCCCCCCCGCCATTAAAATTAATTGTTCTGTACGATCAGTATAACTTGCACGGTGCAAAAACAAAAAATTTTTTGAAAAATTGAATGAAGCATTTTTGAAGACATGTTTGTATTTTCAGAGCCTGCGGCACCTTTGACTTCCGCAACCTGCCCACCACCATCCCCAAAACCGACCCGGACCTATTCGATCTCAAATTCGAAGACGTACTAGCTCAAGCTGAAAACCAAATGGACACTTTCATAGCACCGCCGGAGTGATGGTCTTTTTTTCATAGCACCACTGAGTTTGAGGATTTGGCCTTCATAGCATCTCTGAGGGTCTGGCGTTCACAGTACCACCGGAGTGATGGTCTTTTTTTCATAGTACCATTGGAGTGATACTATTATTTGAACATTTATTATTGTTATATAGTTGTATATTCGCAAATTTGTAGACTTGAAACATTAAACTTGTTAATTATGTTGTACTAGATGGGTTATTGTTTGAAAAGGGTGCTCTACACCTTTCCTAAGGCTACAGTTTTTTAAATTATTCCTCTATGGTCAATAGCTAGCTGTTCGAGCAAAGTAACGTGCTATTTTTGAGGATAACGTACTGTTTTTACTCGAATTTCAGCTTTTTTTCTCGAAAAACATCGAAATTTCCACAAAAATCATGTTTTTCTTTGAATTTCTGGCGTTCTCTAACCTCTGTCTCTGTTCCTCTCACTCTCTCTCTGGCCACTCTCTCAAGGTAACGTGCTATTCCTACCCAAATTTCAACTTTTTTCCTGAAAAACCTCAAAATTTCCAGAAAAATCACTTTTCCCTCTAATTTCTGGCGTTCTCTAGCCTCCATCTCTTTCCCTCTCTCTGACTGCTCTCTCTAAGTAAAGTGCTATTTCTTCTAAAATTTCAACTTTAATTGTCCAAGAACCTCGAAATTTCCAGAAAAATCACGTTTTCCCTCGAATTTCTAGCGTTCTCTGGTCTCTTTCTCGTACTTTCTTATTCTCTCTCGCCGCGCTCTTCTCTTTTCGCACTCTCTCGTTTGTTTTCATTTCGCACAGAACTTGGGAACACCGCCCCTTTTTTGTTTCTGCACGTTTCTTGAGCTTTCCTCGCGTCTATAAAAGGCCGTTCCGGGTGCAAACGGGCCAATTTCAACGAGTTTTGAAAGGTTTTGTGTTTCAGCTTTGCTATTGAAGTTATATCAACTTTAACCTTCGTCTTCTAAACCGATATCAACCTTCATCAACCAAAAATGAGTCTTCTCCCCTACGTTCTGGACCCATTCGCCGTCCGCCGCCCATACCACCATAGCCAGGACCCGTTGAACGAGATCGACCGCCTCTTCGGCACCGTTCTGGACTCGATTCAGCCCGCCTTCAACGAAGCCGGCCGCCTCATCCCAGCCAACGTCGCCGGCTCCTCGTTGAGCTACAGCAAGGATGGTGACCTCACGTTCGCCTGCGAAACCGACGGATTCAAGCCCGACGAGCTGAAGGTGGACATTCAAGGTCAAACTCTGTTGGTACAGGGACGTCACGAGGAAGAGAAGGACGGTGAGAAGATTGAACGCCACTTCCAACGTGCCATTCGTCTGCCAAAGCATGTGGACCTGGAGCAGATCAAAAGCGAGCTGGATGAACAGGGCAGACTGACTGTTTTTGTGCCAAAAGTCGTTCAGGAAGAGCCCAAGACCACCAGTATTCCGATTCAGATGAAGAAGCAGATCGAGGAGCAGAAGTAGAACAAGTTCAGGTTGAAGTATCGTAAGTTTTTTCCTGGTTTATATAGCGTTTTAGGGCAGAAAACTTGGTTTTTCTAGACTTTTAGGTAATATTTTGATAGTTTTTGGCGTTTTATAATAGTTTAGGTAACAAAATTTAGTTTTTCAAAACTTTAGGTAAAAAGTCTTTCAAATTTTGTTATTTTAACCTCATTTCAATTTCAGAATTCACCCGAACAGTGCACTACCATTATCCCTGTCTCCAGTACCAACTTTACCCGTACCTGTCCATAGTGCTCTCTACTAAACATCCTTGATCTACAACAATATCCATGTTACTCTCTTTATGCTTATTATTCTACGTTTTCTAATTGTACATTACTCTGCTGTGAATAAATAATTTATTTTCCTATTACAGTAAGTAGTACTATGTAATGTTTAATGTCCTATTTCATACTTTACATAGATATGACAATACATAAGGATACTAGGTATAAGATAATATAGTGAAAGAAAAAGTTAATTCGATTCTTGTAGATATACGACATTATATAAAAGGGGTTAATTTGGTACATGTTTTCTGTTTTTGTGAATGGGTCCTTTTTAAAATTCAAACTTGGATGCCACTTGGCTGTAGTTGTTGTAGAAGGTCTGAAAATGAAAAAATCGACAAATAATGTGAAAGGATGACATCTTGGGTTAAAAACGACACTTCATGTGAAATTTTTAAATTAGAAATGCCATTTTAGCCAAATTGGAATGTTAAGCCCAGCTTGAGATTTATAACACGAAATGAGATTTTTAAGCTCAAAATAACATTTTTAAGCCTAAAGTGATGTCTTTAAGCCTAAGATGACATTTTAAAACCTAAAGTGACGTTTTAAGCCTAAAATGACATTTCTAGGACCACAGTGACATTTTTTAATCTAAAATGGCATTTAAGCCCAATCTGACATTTTAAAACCAACGTGACATTTTTAAGGTTTATGTTCCATTTTTGGACGCCTAAGGTAACATTTTTATCTCAAAATGAATTTTTAAAACAAAATTTGCACTTTCTCTCTTCAAAAATGCCATTGATAATTCAAAAAACATAAAATCTTAAAACAACTTACCGAGTACAATTTGATGGCATTATCGACCGATTTAGCGTCAGCGCATTCTCTAGCCGAATGCATGGCCAATTGAGCACAGCCCACATCGATAGTTAGACAACCCAAATTGGCCGAAATAAACGGGCCTATGGTCGATCCGCATGGTGAGGTGTTCTTGACCACGAATTTCTGAAAAAATGTCATATTAAAAACGTCACCTTAGGCTTAGAATATGTCCCCTAGACTTAAAGATTAGTTTAAGTTTAAAAATATAATTGTAGGCTTAAAACGACCTTTTAGGCTTATAAAATTCATTCTAGGCTCAAATTGTCTCTTTAAGCCTAAAAATGTCATCCAAAGATAAGGTTTCACTAGAATTGTCAAAACAAACTTACAGTAAGTTTAACATCAGCTAGTTTAGCGACTTCACTCAACACCGAGTATGAGGTTGTTGTAGTGGCATATCTTTGGTCGGCGTTGATCTTAACGACCACTGAACCGTCGAAGCGCGGGCGATGGTTTCGTTCATGGCGATCGGAAAAGTTGGGGTGGGCGGCGTGAGCTTGATCGGCCGAAATTATCAAACTCTTAGCCATGGCACGGGAAAAATTCTCTTGATTCACTTGTTCGCCTAAAAATGCTATTTTAAGATTTAAACGTAATTTTAGGCTTATAAATTTCAGCATGGAACATTACTTTAAGCTTATGGCATTTTAAGGTTACGACTTTTATTTTAGGATTAAGAATGTTATTTTAGAGTTCAAATGTAATTTTAGGTTTTAAATGTCATTATTAGCTTTAAAATGTCATTTTAAGCTTAAAAATGTCAATTTGGGCTTCAAATTTAATTTTAAAGTTAGAAACGTCATTTTAGGCTTAGAAACATCAGCTTAGGCTTATAATTGTCATTTTAGGCTTAATAATGTCATTAAAAGCTTATAAATGTCACTTAAGCTTAAAAATGTCAATTTAGGCTTAAAATTTAATTTTAAAGTTAGAAACGTCATTTTAGGCTTAAAAATGTCAGCTTAAGCTTAAGAAGGCCATTATAAGCTTAAAAATGACATTTTTTCCTTTAACTGACATTTTAAGCAAAAAAACCATTTAGGCTAAAGAATGTCACTATAACTCCAAAAGTGTCACTTTTAAGCCTAAAAATGTCATAATGTCATTCCAAATCAAAAATGTCATTTTTCGCCAATCACTTGTAATCACTTTTCCAAACACACATAAAATTTTTAAAAAATTCAAAAGCTCACCCTCCAACACCAATCGTCTCAGAACCTGCTCGAAAACCTGAGATTTTGCCCCAGCAGCCGAACCGGAGCCAACTTCTTCATGATCGAAACATACCGCCACTTTAGTGATATTATCATACTTGGCTTCTACTGGCTGCTTTTGGGACTCAATCAAGCCTTTTACCGTGGTGTACACGCCCAACAGGTTGTCGAGTCTTGGACTGAAGACAAATTCGTCTTTTAGTCCACCTAGCTCGGCTTTTTCGGTTGGGAAGGTGCGTAGGTCAAAGTCGATGATATCATCGACTTTGCATTCACAGTCCTTGGCAATTAGGTTTAGGAGTTCGATGTGGTGGTCGTCTAAAATGGTGTTATTAAAATTTTAAAAAAGGTTCAAAATGTTATCTAAAATTGAAAAAATAACAATTTGTTACCTAAATTTTGAAAAAAAACCCTTACATCCTTCGCTCTTCTCCCCATCATCACAACAAAATATAGGTTGCAAATGTTCTTCAGAGTCAATCTTCGGCTGTAGCCTCTCAGTTTCCAAATGAATAGCCAAATTCGGAATGAACAACAACGGTTTTCGACCCAAATCAACATGAACATGGTCAATATTTCCATTGTCTCGCTTTACAGTAACCACACCAGCTAAACCAAGGCCACGATCGAACCAGGTTCGCCAAATTCCTCCACCATACGTTGATACCGCCACTTGTTTGAACTGTTCTTTGGCCAACTTAGAGCTTGGGCGAACTCGGAGACAAGGGCTGTCTGTGTGAGCTCCTACCACAGCAAATCCGTTCTTGGCTTCGAATTCGCTTCCAACGATGAAGGCAATCAAGGTTGAGTAAGCTCTGAAAGTCTTATTAATGCAAGAAATATATATAAAATCAAGCATAACTGCTATATTATCTTACTTCACAACATAATATCGGCCATTCTTTTGCAATTTCCATTCGTCCTCCAACCTCAACTCTTTAAAACCTTCCTCTCTGAGCAGTTGAACACTAGTATGTACAGCTAAAACAAAAACATAAATCAACTTTCACTTGTAAGTCAAAAAGACAAAAAAATCCATTTTAAGTCATATCTCAGCCAAAAATAAAAATTATAACACAATCCCTTTATATTACCACACCATAGACATCGTATTTACTGTCTTTAAACTTTCAAAACAAAAAAACAAGCCAAACGTTTAAAATTTCCTTTATAAATGCGGTTACCTCAGCCATGGTGAAGATCCCTAAACCAAGAAACAACAAAATATAAACCCTTACCATGATATGGAGTTGGTGAAGCATCCAAAAACTTTGTAAAATCGTTGTAGGACATGTTAGATGATAAACGATAACCTTTGGTCCACTGAAAACACAAGAAATTTAATTTATATTCACCAGCACGGAAGAAACGTTATCACGAATAAAAACTAGTGATAAAAACTTTTAATTAATAAATCGCAACATTCAAAAGGTCAAAGAATATCAAACATTCATGATTAACAATGCTTTGATCAAAAGAAAACCATAACATATTTGTTTCGAAGTTTTTCGACAAAAGGTTTAGCTTGAAGCTACATACACAATATAATTTATGTAAATCCCTTCCCTATGCAAACTCCAACCAAATTTTTGTTCCAGAAGCAAGTCTAAACATAGAACAATAATAAAAACTAAAAATTCTCACATTTCCCTGCAAATTCAGCCGCAAAACATTCGAAACAAGCCCTGAAGCCAAGCGAAATTGATTCAAACCAAAAAATCGAAGCATATTGCCTAAAAATTTGATTAAAAACCTAGTCTAGACTACAGTAAAATGTACAAATATAGATTAGAGACACGGTGCACTTTAATATTGACATCAAGGTGGTTGTTCTTATCAGTTTTGTGCGACAAAACCGGCGATAAACCTCGATATTGTTCTTGATAACATAAAAATTTTAAAAAATATTGAAATTTTTATGTAAAACAAGCTTAAACTAATATAATAGTATTTTCCTTGAGGAAAGAACACGTCTTCATCGTAAAAACTCCGTATTTTGCCAAATGTAAAATAATTTTCAGCAAAAAATGCGAAAAGCCAGACGTAAAATCTTTCGTGGTGGGACTCAAACCAGTTCGTGATGCAATCAAGAAAAACGATAAAAATGTAAATAAAATCAAAGTTTATTACAGTATTATATTATATTTGCTACAAAACGGCTACTTTATTTATTATAGTAAAATATAGTTAAATACGACGATAAGGATGAGCAGGTAAGACAATGGGTTGAGGTTGTTCGCACTGTTGCACTCGTTCGTGTTACAATAACAAATTTTTTCAATTTCTATTAGCTTTTCGTCCATTAAACTCTTTTTTTTTACATCCCGAACCGATCATTTTTTTATCCTGAAAAAAAAATTTATTTATTTTTTATTTTTAAAAAATTTTTAAATTTAAAAAATTTAAAATTTAAAAAAAAACTTACGTGACATCCACGAGTGATCGTTTCTTGCTCTGAAAATAAAAATTATTAATGATTTTTTCCCAGCTCAACCTATGCCCAGAGCCCTAGCCCAGAGCCTAAGCCCAGGGCCTAAGCGTAAAGCTTAGGGGTGAGAGGCCCGGCCCAGGCCCGGAGCCCAACGTTTAGGCCCGGCCCGCTTTCAATTTTCTATCAGGCCGGCCCGGCCCGTTTTAAAAAATTTTAAAAATTTTAAGACTTAAAAAATAAACGGAAATTTGGCTTTGCATTGTTCTTTTAGATCATTTATGTATCATGCTATCCAATAAAATCAAAAAACATCAACGAGGATTAAAATAAAAAATTTTTTTTTCGGGCCCGGGCCCAATTTTAGCTCAAGGCCGGCCCAGGCCGGGCCGGGCCTAGACGGCCCGTTTCTCACCCCTAGTAGAGCTCTAGCCCAGAGCTCGTGCCCTTTTATATGTCTATGCCTATGCCTATGCCCATGCCCATGCCCATGCCCATGCCCATGCCCATGCCCATGCCCATGCCCATGCCCATGCCCATGCCCATGCCCATGCTCATGCCCATACCCATGCTCATTCCTCTGCCCAAGCCCATAACCCCAGCCAAAAGCCTTAGCCCTACCCTTACCATTAACTCTTTTAGTAGTAACGAAGCACGATGTTGCACAGTACGAACTTTCTTTCGGTGCACCGACAAAACAGTCCACTAGATTATCGGTGAGTTTCCGAGTACTCTGGCAGTTATAGCATTTTAGGTGAAACACTCCAACGGAGAAAACGCCTGAAAGAAAGTAGGTAAGGTTGATATAAAAGTCATTTTTTGATGAGATTTTTTTATTTTTTCGGTCAGAAAGTATATAGAATTTGATATAGCTGTACGCTTTAGGTCTAAATGTCCATGGAACATTAGCTTTGTTTTTCAAGTTCGAAAGTTTCAAGAAATCGTTTTTTTTATTATCTTTTGTTGAAAAATTTAAAAAAAGTGCTATGTTTATAAGATTTTAGTCAAAAGATCAACACTATTTCCTTTACTTTTACGACAAAAAGGATAAAATTTGTTTTAAATTTATTTTTTAGGTTTAACAATTTATAAAAAAATTTACTTTTAAACTTTTTTAGGCCAAAAAGTTACAAAAAATCGTCTTTTTTCAGCTTTTTAACAAAAAAATATAAAAATGTGCCATTTTTAAACGTCTTCGGTCAAGAAATTGATAGAATTGACTCCTTTAAAGGCTAGGAATGGGTCTAAAGCTAGGGTCTTTGGGCTAGGGCTTTGGGTTAGGGCTTGGGGCTAGGGCTCTGGTTTAGGGTTCTAGGCTATGAGCTAGGGCTCTTGGCTAGGTCTTTGGGCTAGGGCTCTGGGCTAAGGCTCTGAGCTAGGGCTCTTGGCTAGGGCTTTGGGCTAGGGCTCTGGGATAAGGCTCTGAGCTAGGACTCTGAGCTAGGGCTCTCGGCTAGGGCTTTGGGTTAGGGTTCTGGACTAGGGCTCTAACTAAAGCTCTTAGGTAGGACCCTGGTATAGGGCTCTTGGCTAGGGCTTTGGGTTAGGGCTCTGGGATAAGGCTCTGAGCTAGGACTCTGAGCTAGGGCTCTCGGCTGGGCTCTGGACAAATTTTTAAAAAATTTCAACTTTAACTTAAAGGTAGCAAATGAGATGATCAAAACGAAAGTGCGAACCATTTTACCACACTAAAATATCGATTGTTTTGGGTGACTATACTTTTAGAAATTGAAGAAAAAATTAATTTGTTTTTAAATTAAAAAATTTTTTAAAAATTAAAAAAAATTTCGAACTAAACTAACTTTCGCTGCTGGTTGCCATTTCTTTTTGTACAAAATGTGGAACAGTACTGTTCTGAAGGCGTTCCTCTTCGTTCTGCATCTGCTTGGCTTTTCAATGATGGTGATTGCGATTCCGCTTAAAAGCTGGTACACTTACGACCAATGGACCCATATGAGTTTGTTTACATGGCATTGCGAACGGAAGTGTCCGTGCACTAATTTGGACGTGAGTTATATTATTTTACTATTACTCTACTGTTATAGGCTTGAGGCTAGGGTCATATTGAGTAAGATTTGGGTAGGGCGTAAGCTGGAAGATTAAAAAAAGTTATTTAAGGCACGGTTGAGCTGGAGGACTAAAACTAAATTTAATACTAAGTCTAGGGTTAGGGTTAAGACTAAGACTTTGGCTAAAGTTAAGGTTAGGCTCTGGGCAGGGCTCTGGACAAAAGCTAGGACTAGGCTAGAAAAAGGGTTAGGGCTTGAAATTGGTTTGGCTTGGGCCAGCCCTAGGACTAGCACTATGGCGCTGGGAAAAAGCTAGGCTAGACTAGAAGTAAGACTAAAGCTATGGCCAAGGCTAGGAATAGGGATAAAGCTAGGGCTAAAGCAAGGGCTAGGGTTAAGGCTAGGGCTCTGGGCTAGGGCTCTGGGCTAGGGCTCTGGGCTAGGGCTCTGGGCTAGGGCTCTGGGCTAGGGCTCTGGGCTAGGGCTCTGGGCTAGAGCTAGGGCTAGGGCTAAAGCTAAGACTAGGGTTAGGCTTATTTTAACCTTTTTTTATTTCAGGTACGATCTTCTGGCTACGTCCGCTACATGTCAACGTTCTTGTTAATGACTGGAGCGTTCTCTGTATTTTTCTCTATACTCTCTTCAGACTTCACCGTATTTCAGCCCGGCATGCCAAGGCTGATTTTAGGAATCGGAATCGTGGATTTGGCCAGCTTTTTGTTCAGTGGGGGTGGAGTTGCACTGTTTTTGTACTGGTTTTGGTTTGATACTTGTAAGTTGATATTGTAATTTGGTATTGTGGATACAGCAATTTTTTAAGCTATAGTACTGTAGTCAAGAGTGAGGGTAGATTATAGTACAGTAGAGTAGGTTTTGGTACGGCTGGGTACATTGTGGTACGGTAGGGTGTGGTAATGTAGAGTAGGGATCAGGTAAAGTAAGGTAGGGCAGGGTAGGGTAGGGTAGGGTAGGGTAGAGTAGAGTAGGGTAGGGTAAGGTAAGGTAGGGTAAAGTAGGGTAGGGTAGGGTACGGTAGGATAGGGTAAAGTAGGGTAGGGTAAAGTAGGGTAGAGTACGGTAGGGTAGGCTATCTTACTGTAATTTCTGTTCAAATAAACTCTTTCAGACTTCTGTACGACAACTGGCGAGTACGGTACAGCCTTTAAGATATATGTCACTGGAGCATCAATAATCACTATCAGTGGATTGATTAACCTTATCACTTATGGAACATACAAGTTGCTAAGCAAATACTATTGGAAAAGCAGCGCTTACATAAATGTAAAACAACAAGGCAAAACGATGGTTACAATGTCAATGGAGCCTTCTAGTGGTGTTGCAAGCACAGAAACAGCGACTGATAAAAACGATTAAAACTATATAGTACATGATAGATATTGATATGCTTGTTCTATGATACTTGACTAATGAAATTTATTTATTTTGTGTCGTGGTTCATATTACTGAGGCAAATGTTATATTACAGTGCAGTAAATACGTTTGAAGTTTTCCGCTTACTGTAAAACTACGCAAATGATACGGTAAAGCAAACATGATGCTAGAGCACTATTACTGTAAGGGAAAGACTGTTATGGGTATAGTAAAGCACAGCTGTACATGAAGGTAGCTTAAGTCTTAAACTAAGCTCTACCTTAAGCTTTAACATGCTGATAAATTCTAACCTAAGCCTATATGTTAAGCCTAGGATAGAGCTGAAGCCTAATTATAAGATCAACTTTAAGTCTAAGCCTAATTTAGTGCTTAAGCCTTAGTCCAACTTTAATCTTAACTCTAAGCCTAATTTAGTGCTTAAGCCTTAGCTTAACTCTAATCCTAACTCTAAGCCTGAGCCTAAGCCTGAGCCTAGGCTTAGACTAAAACTAATGGCCTTGCTATTTTAATATTCTCGTTAATGTTGAACATAAAAACTAAAAGTGCAAGCGCTTTTGGCAAAATAGAACGAGTCAGACAGAGAGTGGCCACTGGTCACAAGGTCGTGTCGCGGCATTTCCCTCTTTCTGTTTTGGCTCTCTTTTTGGCCAGAACACGAGGTTTTTTACTTTTCTCGTCACAGTTTTGAATTAGTCAAGTTTTACTAGCCTAGAGCCTTATTCCAGAGCCCTAGACCAGAGCTTTAGCCCAAAGCCTTAGCCCTAGCCCAGAGCTCTAGCCCAGAGCCCTAGCCCAGAGCCCTAGCCTAAAGTTGTAGCCAAGAACCCTAGCCCTAAGCTCTAGCTCAGAGCCCTAATCTAGAGTATTAGCCCAGAGCCCCAGCCTAGAGCTTTAACCCAGAGTCCTAGCCTATATCTTTAGGCTAACGCAGCCGATCTAAGTGAATTCAGTCCATCCCAGCCTAGCTCTGCCGATCTCAGATCAGCCCCGCTTAGAACTGCTCTATCTCAAAGCTTTAGTTCTGTTTTGGGCGTGCTCTAGCCTAGAGTCTTAGCTTCAACTATAGCCCAATCCAAATTAAAGCACAGCCCAGACTAGCCCAGACAGCCTAAAGGGGCCTAGCCTAGTATAGCCCAGCTTAGGTTTGCCCTGCATTGTTCAGTTCAACAAAGCCCAGTGCAGCTAAGCTCAGCATAGCTAACAATAAGCCTAGCCGCGCCTTGTCTAAACTTTTTTCGCCAATCCGGGTATTTTAGTTTAAAACAGCCTAGTTTAGCCCAGAACGTTGACACCGAGCCCTAGCTAGCCCAGAGCTCTAGTCCAGAACCCTAGCTAGTCTAGAGCGCTAGTTCAAAGCCCTGACTAGCTTAACGTTCAAGTCCAAAGCCCGAGCTGGCCCAGAGCTCTAGCTCAGAGCCTTAGCTAGCCCGCTTATTTCTTTTTTGCTATTTGTCCAAAGAATTAGAGATGCCAAAAATAAATTCAAACATCTGATATGACACTACCGTTACATTGTTTATGCCATCTTCTCGCACTCCTTCGAGTAGTCCGAAAGTATTTGCGTATTAGGCAAATAAAGAACGAATCCAATCTATCTGGAAAACGAACGCCTTTGGAATGAAATTGGACCTAACCTTGTTTTTCTACTTTACGTTTTACTGTAAATGGTCAATGGGGTTATTTTGGGTCTGTGGGTCAGGTTTGGACATTTTTTTACACAATTTTTGTTTTTATTAATTTATAAATGACATTTTTAAGCTTTATGAAACGTTTTTAAGCCTAACTTGATACTTTTAAGCCTACCGTAAAATTTTTAAGCTTAAAGTAACATTTTTGCGACTAAACTGCAATTTTTAAGCCTAAGATAAAATTTTTAAGTGAAAAATGATCTTTTTAAGCCTAAGGTAACATTTCTAAGCGTAAAATAACAATTTTAAGCCTAAACTGATATCTTTAAACCTAAAATGACGCTTTAAAGATAAACATGACATTTTTCAGTCTACAGTGACATTCTTAAGCCTATGATAACATTTATCAATTCAAAATCAATTTTTAAAATTTGAGATGATTTTTTAGGTATAAAGTAATATTCTTAAGCCTAACTTAAAACTACAGTAAAACTCTTGTATAACGAACAACTTTTGAATCCTCGTCTATCATTGCACAGTGCATTTAAAACTCCTGTATAACGAAAATTATTTATAACGAACAAATTTCTAACTCCCGAACAATTCGTTATACAGGAGTTCTGCTGTATTAACTTTAAAATGCCATTTTTGATACCATTCTATCCCTTAAATTAAATTTGATGTTTGTGAACGATTCTTAATACACGGTTTTTCCTTATAATAAAGTTTGTTATACAGGAGTTCCCCTGTATTACGATTAGTACAGTTGTTGCTTGTTTTCCTGCGCTTTTTTGGTCATGAAAATTGCTTTAGCGTTCCCATGAGAAATGACAAAAAAGAGATATTGCAAATTTACTCGCCGTACATCTGATGATTGAACGTGCCGTTTTTTTTGACGTCAAGTGTTGAAAAAGCAAACATACAGTTCAACTCCTGTATAACGAATTTCACAAGACTAAGACAAGTGTTGGGCGTTGATTTCGAGCTCACTTTGGTTGCGGACTCGACTGAAAATGAGAAATTTTTATCTTTTGGGTAAGGTAATGTAGAAAAGGTTAGGGCATGAAAAGGCCAGGTAGAGCAGTAGGGTAAGGAAGAAAAGGAAGAACGGGGTACAATAAATAATGTAAAGGCAGATTGTACTTGTTTAGTACGTTCTACATAGAAAAGAAGTTACATGGTAAAGCAGTTTTAGGTAAGGTATATGGTAAGGAAGCTACAAGACAATATAAAGAAGCTAGAGGGTAAGATAAAGAAGCTACAAAGCAACGTAAAAAAGATAGAAAACAGGGTAAAGATGTTAACAGGCAAGATAAAGACGCTACAGGGTAAGGTAAAAAGCTACAAGGCAAGGCAAGGCAAGGCAAGGCAACGCAAGGCAAGGCAAGGCAGAAGGAAATTTTTAAGTTTTTTAGTCTCTTTTTTTCAAAATTCATCTTTATGTTTGTTTAGCTTGGAGGAAACCTTTTTTTTGAAACTGATGTGTGGTCTAATCTATTTTATTATCTAATTTTAACGTTTTGAATTCAAGAGATCATATTATAATGAAAAGTATTAACCAACTTTACCCTACCTTAATCTAAAAACTTGTACTTATTTTTAACATAACCTTAACCATAACTCTTGCCATATCCTTAAAATGCAAATTTTCTTTTGTTTTGAATTTAAAACAAAGAATATTTACCCCTTTTTGAGATGTATTTTGTTTTTCTTTGGCTTGGCTCGCGTTTCCGTCTTCTTTGTCCTTTCGGAACGTTTGGAGAAATCCGTGGGAACGTTCGTTCTTTAGCGTTTTTTATTGAATTAACTAGGCTTAAACTGGTTGAGCTTTCTAGCTTTGTTTAGTGTTTAGAGACTTTACTTTGATACGAATTGTTTTGGATGTTGTACTTGGGGTTAGAATGAGATACTGAGCTAAGGCTAGGGCTGACGATAGGGCTAGGAAAGCTCATGTTGAACCTGAGCTTGAGTGTGAGCTTGAGTCTCAGCTTGAGCCTAAGCCTAAGTTTAAGCCTAAGCCTAAGCCTAAGCTTAAGCCTAAACTTAAGTCTAAGCCTAAGCCTAAACCTACGCTTAAGCCTAATCCTAAGCCTAAGCGTAACCCTAACCCTAACCTTAAGCCTAAGCCTAAGCCTAAACCTATGCTTAAGCCTAAGCCTAAGCCCAAACTTGAGTTTAAGCTTGAGCCTAGGACTAATATAAGCTTAAGCTTAAGTCTTTCTTGCTTGAGCCTGGACCTAAGCCTGTCCTTGAGAATGAACTTAAGCCTAAGCTCAAACTTGAGTTTAAGCTTGAGCCTAGGACTAATATAAGCTTAAGCTTAAGTCTAAGCACATACTCAAGAACAAACTCATGCCGCAACTTAAACTCATATCTAAGCCTAAGCCGAAGACTTAACTTGAACCTACATTTAAGCCTAAAATTAAGTCTAAGCGAATGTCTAAGTGTAATACAAAGCAAGTTTGTCGTGGATCCATTAATTTTCAAAAAAATCTGAAAATCTTCTTTACCGCCTAACAAAACTTAAATTACAATCTTTCTGTTTAATACTCCTTCCAACTTCACCTTCCTCGCCTTATCAACGAGATTATTAATCAAGGTTTACATTGTTTAAAGTAGTTGTTTGCCTTTGGCTTTGGGTGGGTTTTTGTCTTTTTCCAACCTGAAAACGTCGCCGGTTTCGTGCTTTTTCCGGGGTGAAAAGATGGGTTGGGGACGTTGTAAACAATATTTTTAATCTTTCGACCAAATATTTGGGTGCACTTGTGAGAGAATGTTTTGGTTTTGGTCTTGTTTAGACCGACATTTGAGATTTTTTTGTTGTTTTTGAGGGTTTTTGAGGTGGATTTTATTTAGGTAGCTTTTGTTGTTTTTTATGAATCTTTAGGTATTTTGTGTTGTTTTTAAGGTTTTTTGGAGCGGATTTGTTTAGTTTTTAGGTAGTGTTTCTAGTTTTTTAAGGTTTTTGGGGGTAGACTTTATTCGTTTTTAGGTATTTTTTTGTTGTTTTAGAGGGTTTTTGAGGTGGATTTCATTAGTTTTTAGCAGTTTGCCCGGACCGGTCCGGAGCGTTTTTCACCGGTCCGGTCCGGCGATTTTCGGGTCCGGTTTGGTCCGCTCCAAACCTCAAATTTTTGGGTCCGGTCCGGTCCAAACCCAAAATTTTTGGGTCCGGTCCATCAGTTCTATTAAAATAAAAAAAAATTTTCTTCGGTCCGGGTCCGCAGGTTTTTGGGTCCGGTCCGCAAAAATTTTTGTTTTGGTCCGTCCGAACCGGACCCGTCCGCGGACCGGACCGGTCCGGCAAAACACTGGTTTTTAAGGCATTTTTTATAGGATTCCGAGTTAATTTTT